ACGAACCCGAACACATGCCAGAAAGAGACGCCAGACAGGATGTCAGAATAGTTGGGGGGATCACTGGAAGGAAGTATTTTCCCCACCTGCCAGGTGAGGTCTCTAGATTTTGACAAAGGTGCAACTCCTCCTTCACCGTCACACCTTCTTCCTCCTCTTCCACTTCCTCCGCCGTCCGCCGCCTCCTCCTTCTGCCAACTCGTCGTACCTCGGCATGAACGGATCCTAGCCATGTGGCAAGCTCCGTTATAGCAAGCTCTGGATGAGGTGGGCATGTCTGAACCCGAACCCTATCCCGAGCTCCAGAAGCAGCTGGGCACTCCTGGACCCAAGTATATTCCAGAAAGAATGCCAGATAGATTGCCAAAAGGAATGTCATACAGAATGCCAGAATAGATGCCAGTATGAATGCGAAAAGATGCCAGATCGAATGCCAGAAGAATGTCAGAATTTATGCCAGAAAGAATGTCAGAATACATGCCAGACAGTATGTCAGAATAGATGCCAGATATAATGCCAGAAAGAATGTCAGAATACATTCTAGAAAGTATGTCAGATAGAATGTCAGAGTATATATGAACATACATAACGTGCCGCGTATATACTTGCAGGTGATATGTCAGAAACTAGGTCGGAATAGTGTGTCAGGGTGGGGATCACTCAAGTAAAGTATTTTCCCTTCTTGGGGAAAAATGCGCCGGTGATAGTCAGTGCGGCGCTCCCCGCTTTACCAGGTACCTGTCAGATGTAAATGGGATATCCCCCTTGGCGTATTTGTCCACAAGTAGGTACGACAATGCCCACTTTATCCACAAGTAGGATGATCCTCAGAATCACTTTTCCCACCTCGCAGATTTTCCAAGTAGTTTGGTCACATCGCAACTGGTTCTTGGATGGACAGAACCCTGCACCAGTTGGTAACTATTGGTAACTATGCAACCCTGTAGATACTGGGAAGGTAATGAGGCTGCAGAACCGTTTTCTTTTTGGATGTTTTGGAACTATGTGCCCAACCAAAGAAGAAGACTACACATAATAACCAAGACACATCATCATTTGCTCTTTAAGAACCCCATAGTTTTGTTGTTAACTTTTCTCTCTGTCTGTCTACCCCTCTATCTCTATCCATCTATCAATCTAATCCAAACTAAGTTGACCTATATAACCTAATCCAATCAATCTAACCTATCCATTTATCTATCCATGCATCTATTATCTGTCTATCTATCTACCTATCTCGTTGCATAATATACATAATATTTATATATAGATGTAGTAGTAGTAGTAGTAGTAGTAGTAGTAGTAGTAGTAGTAGTAGTAGTAGTAGTAGTAGTAGTAGTAGTAGTAGTAGTAATAACAATAATGTTAAGAAATAATAAAAATAACAATAATAATAAGACATCAATAATTATTAGTACATGTGCACAATTATGTATCTTTAATCATGCAAGTTCGAATTCATTGGGAAGAGCTGCTGCGTTAGATTCAACAGAATTCCAAAGCACAACACGCACACACACACACACAGACACATACATATACATATATATATATATATATATATATTTCATATATCTACACATGTCCGGAGACATATGTGCAGATACAATATAATACAATATAGTATATTGAATATATTATATTGTATCAATATATGGGATATAGTGGCTATATGGAATATATTTCCATATTGTATCCATATCTATATATATATATATATTAACCTATCTGCTATATAGTGGGTTATTCTGGGTTGCGTCTCCTTAAACGATTCACCATCCAAACGATTCAACCAGGTCCATCTCCTTGATCGGCCGCGTCATGGAACGCGTCATTGCCGAAGGATCCACCGTGGTGATGAAGGCCATGCTGGCTGGGATAGGATTTATGCCAAATTGTGTTGTAAACGTATGCTGAATATTTATGGATATGTCGCTTTGATTTTCAAATATACATATGTATATATTTATATTTATATTTTTATTTATATATATGATGTATATATGACACATTTGACAAATATTTTTTTCATTTGCCACTGATAATCAGCAAAATTGGTGGTTGATGACAATTTGAACATGACAACTAGTGATAGCATCACAACGGTACCGGGGCCCAACGAATGTAAGGTGATTTCCAGCCAGAAATCAGGTGATGATTAGGTGAGGGTGCCTCAGTTGAAACAGGGTTTTTACAATTTGTTCTACAACACGTGGGCCATCCAGTTATGTTAGAACCCCAACTAATTATGGATATATTTTGTTATATGTCCTTTTTAAACCCCATATTATTTACTGACAAAACAACAAAGTTCTACCAGAAACGGGAACCCCCACCTTGTAAGAGTTTTTTTTGTGATGACGGATGGTGAATTGGGTCCCCTTCTGGTCGCTGGTGTAGGTGAGATTCAAACAGTAAAAATGGGAGATTCACACAGATAATGATGGTGGTTGAGGGGAACATAATACTACCGTTGTAACATATATATATATATATATACAGTATGAAGGTGTATCACCCACCGAAATAACCCACCAGCTATGCTTTTGTTTTTTGAAGGACATTCTACGTATGTTAGTTTGTTGAAATCAATTTTCGTTGGAGAAAACGTTCAACATTAGTGTCGGTTGGCAGTTGGCGATCACATTTATTTAGGTCAAATTGATCCCATGTTTCTTGGTGACACTTTTTTGTCTTGACTGAAGAGTGTTCCTTTGGATTGCGAAAAATCCGTTTTGTTGGTGAAGGGTTCATGTTTCTTGGTAGCAAATTCCAGCGTCCTTGTTGGCAAGAATGACAAATGAGGTTTGATATGATTCCAAACCATCCAGGTAGTGATACCAGTGAATCATGTTTCAGAAGACAATGTATTCTAGTTATTGTGATGTGAAAACCAAGGTAGCAAAAATATCATCCAAAACAAATTTAGGATCTCCTTCTACCAAGGACTTCACCATAGGAGTTCAACGCATGTTTTTATCAGAATGGTTTCATCAAATGGCCTTAGAATTTGTTATACCAACTATACATTTTTAGGTACCACACCTAAATTAAGTTATTGCAAATACTGTGTGTATACATTGTATACATATAATATATATATATACATATCCATATAGCGTTGCTAGTGAATCACTGCAAGAAGTGATGATGGTGATTCATTGTGATTCACCAAAACCAGGAGAATCTATGATCCAATTTTCCAATTTTATCACTTCATTATGTTGCATCGCCAATAACACTCATACGCGGTAGTCACGGTGGTGCCCTCCAGTTGCGTTTGTCGGTTTATAAACCTAATCAGCTAGTTCGATATATCTACCATGACCCATAGTTGACCTAGGCAAATAAACCAACTTGGGGCACCAGCTTGTGAATCAAATGGCACAGGCGATTTGTCTCAACCAAGAGAACCAGCTTTCGGAAGCCATGGCTGTGGCCCCGCGAGCAGAACGAGCTCAACATCTGCTGGTGGTGTCTGCTGGGGAAATGCGACTTGGTCAAATCTTCCAGCTTTACGGGCGTGAAGTCCAGAGAACATGAGGAAGAAATTGGATGCCCTTGAATGCCCTTGAATGCCCTTGATACCAGTTTTGATGGTTGTAAATGGGGCTATCATTCCATAAAGGGGGTGACTTCCTGACTTACAATTGGTAAAGGGCCATAACTGTGGATTTGAGAAGCAACCTAAATTGGCAAAAGACTATGGATTTGACAGCTGCGGGAAATAAATAGAAATAAATAATATATAATAAATAGGATTTATACAACCGACAAGAATGGGAACAACAAGGAAAAATAATGAAAAATAAATGGTTTTCCCCGGATGCTAAGTGGCATCAAACGGCAGGTATGAAAACTTGGGAATTTGCTACTGATCTGACTGAGCTGGACGGTCTACAGCAACTTCATTGCCAATCAATCACCATGAGTTTTCAGTAGTGCACCGGGGTACAGTATATGATTTGCAACTACAGATGTATGTGAGGTGGTCCTTTAACTACGCTTGTGGTTCTTTTGGTACTTAATACATTGATTCTCCTTGTTTGTGTTTAAATCACATATAGTCAGTGTCAGCTCTTATGAGTCCATTTTGAAAATTTCTTGGGAAACCAGCTGCCAGGACAACAAACACACCAACAGCTTTAATTGATCAAAACACATCATGCGAAAATGACACCATTGTATCCAAAAGTATCCCAACTGGCGTCCCAACTAATTACCTTCCACTGATCAAACATGGCGTGATGGAACATCCCCCCAATGACAGATGATTTTCCCAGGTGTCAACCTCTATTGGATTCAGGGATTTCCCATTGCCGGCACGCCATGTTTGATGACCGCATAATTTGGTTTACAGAATTGTATAATGAACCCCATGAACATCCAAGTAACTATAGAAATATCATATATCTATCTATTACATCATATATCTACCATAAACATCCACAAACTCTCTACAGAGTGGGCCCCTTCAGTTATGTTTATTGGTTTAAAATCTTATCTAACTATATCTAACTATAGGTGTATCCCTATAAACCCAAAGCTTCTATTGTAGTCATTTTTCTGGCCAAGTTCGCCAGGGTGCCCCATGTAGTTAACTTCCCAAAGCAGGTCGCAGGTCGCAGGTCGCAGTCGGCCAGGTCCACCTCACCCTTATACTGGTCGATCGACAGCGGCCATTTGGGATGCGCACGGATCATCATTGAGGCGACCATCAGATGGCTGCTGTCGGATTTTCAGACTTTCGTGAGATTTTTAAAGGGATTTTGTAGATGCTTTACCTGGGTTTACCTATTACCAGCATGGTGATTTTCCATGGCGAACTGTTAGTCATAACCAGATGGTATTTGGTTGTGAATTGCTGGTGAATTGACGGTTAATGGTTAATTAATAGTCTATAATGATGGTGAAATATGGTTGATGATGATGAATGATGATTAATCTTACTGGTGCGTTTTACGCAGGGAATGTTCGGGAATGATCCATAATCACTAGTAATCATCATCCCAGCAAGCCCCAGCAACCCATCCATTACCTGCCAAGCACCAGTAAGGAATTTATAAGCAACAAGTACCAGCAGTATGATATCTGGGTCTGAAAATGGGGCCTTACCAAAGCCACCAATCGGCCCCAGTGAATCACGGGGATGATGACTTCAACCACAGGAGTTTCGCTCCAATTTTCAGACGGCTACGCCTATCTTTTTCAGTTTCTGATCCTTAGCAGCCCCAGAAATCGGTGGCAAATTCTCGGTTGAAACCGTTGAAACATTTTTTTTCTTGTTTGAAATCCAGAAAATATATGAAAATATCTTGTTTCCAAGGAGACACCCTTCATATCGTTGATTTGTTGGTTAACATCTTGGGCCAATAAATTGGGTCCGGTTCTTGGAGGGCTTGGAGGGGAATTGGATCCAATGATCTCCAGTTACTGGAAATCCTGATGGGAATCTGCTTGGTGGTGACTGGAACATGTTTTGTTCATGTTTTGTTCATTAATTTTGACTGACTTTCCAGAAACAGTTGGGAATGGAATGTCATCATCCCAACTGGCGAACTGATTTTCATATGTTTCAAAGGGGTAGGTCAACCACCAACCAGAAATTGTCAATAGCCCGGCTTGGTTGACAGTGGGCAGTAGATGACAAGCAATTCGGTTCCTTTGTCATCAGCATTGTGGAATACTGTATGTAATACAGACCGTGCCTAATTGCAGCCATTCCAAGGTTTTATGAGGTTTTGGCAGATTTATCTTTTTTGTCGATACATGTTGCCTATTTATATTAATTATTCCCCACCTGCCAGGTGAGGGTTGTTAGATTTTATCAGAGTTGTTCTCCTCTTCCTCGGCTAGCTGTCCTGCTCCTTCTCCTTCTCCTCCTTCTCCTCCTCCGCCTCCTCTAGTTTCTCCTCGACCATGTCTGCATCAACTTCCACCCCCACTTCCGCCTTGCCAACTCTTCGCCGAGCTCTTTGACTCAACCTGGGACCTTCCCAGCTCAGTGTGCACCGCTGGACCTCAACCTGGGACCTTCCCAGCTCAGTGTGCACCGCTGGACCTCAACGGCCAGATAGAATGCCAGAAGATATGCCAGATAGAATGCCAGAAGATATACCAGATAGAATGCCAAAAGAAATGCCAGATAGAATGCCAGAAGGTATGCCAGGTAGAATGCCAGATAAAATGTCAGATAGAATGCCAGATAGAATGCCAAAAGATGTGCCAGAAGATGTGCCAGAACATATGCCAGAAGATATGCCAGAACATATGCCAGAAGATATGCCAGATAGAATGCCAGATAGAATGCCAGATAGAATGACAGAAGATATGTCAGAATATATGCCAGAACAAATGCCAGAAGATATGCCAGATAGAATGCCAGATAGAATGCCAGATAGAATGCCAGAAGATATGGCAGATAGAATGCCAGAAGATATGCCAGATAGAATGCCAGAAGATTTGCCAGATAGAATACCAGAAGATATGCCAGAACATATGCCAGAAGATATGCCAGATAGAATGCCAGATAGAATGCCAGAAGATATGTCAGATAAAATGCCAGAAGATTTGCCAGTAAGAAAATCTATAAATGTCATGGTGGGGACCACACGAAGTAAAGTAATTATAATTGTATCTTATCTATATCATCTTAGTTTATCATATCTTATTTTATTAGTCAATCGTTCAATCAGTCGGTTAATGCATATTTCAGACTTTCTTGTACATTCCTTGGACACCTCAGCACTCGCACTCAAACATGGATAGCACCGCGCAACAGGACCTGCTGACCATCCGTGCCGATCGGGACAACTACTACTATGGCTGTGACACTCTGTTCCACGTACATCCAGATCTGATCCATCACCTTTGTAACAATGCGACCTGGCTTTCCAAACGGCGATCGAGAACCATCTATGACATACCGTTTCTGGGGGGATGAACATCAAAACCGTTTATGACAAACAATCCGGCTGAAAAAAAAATGGTGTGAAAACCGAAGGGTACATCTGGGTGAAGTGACCATCAAATCATCAAACAATTTTTAAACACCTTCAACCCATGGTGCGAGTCCGGGAGTCCTCGACAGGTGTGGCCTGCTTGGTAGTTGGATTTCCAAAAATTGTCGCTTTGTGAAGTGAGTGGTTAACTTGAGTTCAAACCTCAATCCGGTGCCCTGAGGATTTGATGTTTGAATTGTTTGCTATTTAGATCTAGGATTATATGCTATGTTATATCCTGGCTTGGTTATGTGACTAAGTCGGAGCCTTTTTTTTTTCGTCGTGTAGTGTCAGTTGATTCGTCCCCCGTCCGAATGATGAGCCGAACCTGTCGTCATTTTGGGGGATCCGAGGTCAAGATATGGGATAGCGATGGATAGCCCAGAAGTGGAAATGATGTATACGCCAAATCCCTTCCAGAGCGCCGTTTTCCCATGAAAACAATCCTTGTAGGATCTTTTGGTGGTATATATATCATGGACTATCATGGTATTCTTTTAATTTTCACCCATATATAACATGATCTTTCTTTGTGCATCGCTGTATAGACCTTTTCTCGGAGCCAGGCTCCAACCTTGCTTGGGCCCCTGCTGGACGGTCTTGTTTGGAAGTCACGATCGACGCACAATGGTCTTCGGCGGGTGAACTACTTCATCAAAAACCTCCTGCAGGACCCCGTGGGGATGTCGTGCTGGTTACATGGTGCGCCACCTGGGTTGCGCCGCGAAATGTAGGTGCCCCATAGTTGGCGAAGCTGGTGACAATCTGGCTAAAGGGGATTATATGAAATGATATGAATCTATATGTACTTCATGGGCTATAAAGAGAGCCTCAATGGTGTCTTTTTCAGGGTCTGAAAATGGGTGGGGGCCCTCCAAATTTGGATCCAAATGGGCACTTTACTAGGGAAATGACATGATGAATCAGCCGATTTAGTACCCAATTTTCAGACAAACCCAGCTGAAAAAAGGTATGTGCGGGGTTTACCCATGTTTACCCTCTGGTAAACGTTTACATAAAAATGGAAAATCACAATTTTGAATGGGACAACTGGGACAACTCACTATTTCTATGGCCATGTTCAATCGCTTTTTGTTTGTTTACCAGGCCGGGTAGCAGTTTGTTTTCCGCAGCGAGTTCTGGTTTTCCGCCGAGTTGCCCTGAGATTTTGCGTTGGGAAGTTGGGAACTTATGAAAATATTTGATATTTTGGATATATATATATATATAATAGTTCCCAACATTTGCAAAATGGGTTTTAATGGGATTTAATGGGATTTAATAATAGGATAGATAATAGATATTTTGGATATATACTAGATATGTGAATGGGGTTTAATGGGGTTTAATGGGATTTAACAATAGGATAGATAATAGATATTTTGGATATATAATGGATATGTTAATGGGGTTTAATGGGATTTAATGGGGTTCAATGGGATATTTTGGATATATAATAGATATACGCTCTGGTAATGACTAACAGTTTGCTTTCGAAAATGACCCAGTCGAAATAGTTGATATAAACCAATTGAAAATGGTGGATCTTTCCATAGTTATGTAAACGTTTACCAGAGGGTAATAAGCATCCAATTTCTGGGTACAGTACCAATTACCCTGTAGCATGACAGGATCATGACAGGTATGATTCAAACTGATTTGACCGGTCCCTTAACATCCAAAGACCTTGAATATCTAGGTCTTTAAAGGTGTACTGTATATACCTAAAATTGTTTTGAAAGACCCAAAATTGTTACCTTGTTAGTGAATCATAATCTGATATACTGGAAGTCACTGCCAAACAGAAAACAAGACTAGACGTGGTACTCAAGCTTTTGTTTTCTGATGTTTTCCAGATCAGCTGGCGTTGATGGCACTTGCGTTCAAGCACAAGGTCTCTGACGGCCACGGAAAACCAGGTCTGCCTCAACAATGTAAACACCGTGACAAACACCTGGGTGCTTATTTCTCCGAAAAAAACAAACAACAACAACGGAAAATGAAAAATGAAAGCAACATGGCCTCAAAAACATGGCTCATGATGCTTGTGGATGTTTGCTTCTCCAAACCGCCTAAAAATCATTTGTCGCATGGTCTGTCTCCCGTATTTCAGCAGCTCCCGAGGACAAGGACGGCAATTTCAGCAAGAGCATTGAGTGGCTGGTGAATTATGGTGACCCTAAGGTGCAAAAAACCCATGGTTTTCCAGTCACGGCCAGGAGTTGATGTTGCGATCATCAACACAAAAGGAGATCATGGAGTAAATCTTGATATGTTTCATACTCCGAGATTTCCTCATCAATAAATCGGTTTAAAAAACTGTGGCGTTAAATTGTTAAACAATGGTTTTGATGTTATATTTATATCCAAACTTGGGATGATGATACCTGATGAACTACCATGTCGAGATATGCCAGGATACATTTTAGCAGAGCTGCCAAAGAAAACTGCTGACAGCCCACCATGTGTACAGGAAAAAGCTGGAGGTCTCAAACTCCGGTGTCGCTGGAGAAATCATCAAACTATAGCCCATAGGATCCATGGTGCTGGTATATATGCTAACATTTGGGGTATATTGATGGGATCCATGTTACCATATATAGCAGCACCATGGATCCTATGGGTAGCTGGGGGATTTTTCAGGCTTTGCCACGTTTGATTACTGGAGGGTAACATATCCTTTTTCCAGCCCATCGTAAGACAAAGCCACAGGCTATGGGGCGCCCCAATTCCCATGGATGCGGTCAGAGGGTTGCCAGATTCAGCTCTTGATGCCTGATATGGTCCAATTTATCCTGGCTCAGAACCCCAGTTACCCAAGCAGTTGCCATCCAGATCAACTGCGGATCAGATTTCCTTTCAGCAGTGCCCAAAGCCAGAGTTGACAATAGATCACAGCTGTTCTGATCACCATAGACTATAGGATTTGATTATATATATATATATAGATATATATATAGATATATATATATATAGATATTAGGCATTCTTACAACATCTTACAACATCATATGTGTATATGTGTACAAATACGGTATCTACAGTGTTCTACAGTTTGGTTGATCAGACGTTAAATGCAAAGCCACCATATGTAGTATCACCACTTGCCCATAGTTCCTGGCGGAATGCATTGAGTATCACTGAATTTGTTTCCCTAGATACGTAATTATCCATCTATATACCCATTTTTTTGTGGTGCACATACCCATTTTGAATATATGTTTTGGGATCATGGTTGTTGGTTAAGCTTCCAATTTTGGAAGAAAATTCTTAAGGGGGTTTTGCTTGATTACAGGCCTAGGGCCTCCCAAAATGCCATTCCGTTCAGAGAGGCCATTTCTCACCCTGCAAGCGCATTGGCTGTGAACCTGGTGTGGTCTGGTTTGGCTGCTTGACTCATTCAGGCTCAGGCCGTCACTATCGTTATGGCTGAAAAACCATGTGTTAACCACTGTTTCCACGAAGTTTCACTATGTATTAACCACTATTTATGACTATGTGTTAACCACTGTTTACATGCACTATGTTTTTATATGGCTTTCACTATGTTAACTTATTAACCACTCACCTTGCAGCAATGGATATGATTGAGGTGATCCATCCAAAAGAGTTACAGCTGCCACCCAAACTCTTCAGAAAGGGATGACATCCAGGAACGGAATGAACTACTGATACTATAATATATAGATTATAATTATAGCTGGCATATTGGCAAAATCAATGCAACTATTTATCTAGTGAAATATCGGCCAATGAGCCAATGGGGATGACTACCCTCTGGTAAACTAACATAGCTATAGAAAATCGCCATTTTTAATGGGTAAATCCACTATAAATGGCAATTTTCAATAGCTATGTTAGTTTACCAGAGAGTATTCTTTGTGAATGGAACTATCACTTTCCCTTGAGTGAATAGATTAGTGATGATTAGTGTTTGTTTTGTCAGTACAGCTGAGTTGCATGGCATATACTGGCAGATTACGGGACTTGTTTACTACCCGAAGTGTACCACCTGGTGATTGAAGCGAACTTGTTAATGTGGTGCCCAGTGAAATCTTGGTCATTTTACATCTACCATAAACACTGCTGTAGTTGTGATATTTACAGACAAGCTATCGTAAATCACTACAAATACCAATATTTTTGTTGGTCAAATACATAGGGAGCACCGCCGACCATCAAAAAATGCTTCTTTTTACTGACGCTTGGGGCACCGATCGCAGTCCCTGAGAAGGAGATTGAGTTTGGAAAAAGTGGCCACGAAGAGGCTGCGTCAGAATGACATAGATTATCTTTTTGTATTCTTTTTGTACCACCCTATCAATGGCCAGTTCAGGAACCTAAATTGGAGGTACCTACCATATATAAGGCCTATATAAGGCCTATGAAAGGGAGTATCCCCACAAAATATTCGCATTGATCCTAGCAAACTCAGTTTTTGTGGTGATTCCTTCAAACCATACATGAAGGTGACTTGAAAGTTACGAAGGCTTCCCCCTGTTCCCTCGATGCGCTGGAACACATCAGGCAGTGCGCTATTTCTTGGCCGGGCGAGTGTTCTTTCTAATCAGCCTGTTTGCCTTTATGGCGGGGCAGGCCGCTTATGTCCACCACGATGGAACAGAAAGCTACGTGGACAACCTCGCCGCTTCGCCGGCGAGCATGGGGAATGGGTCCTATGGGTCCTGGGTGATAAATTTGGACAGCGAGAAACCTGAAAAATCGAAGTGTTCAGATGTCTTTTTGCTGCAAAACTGGGGTTAAAACATGTTACAAATCACTTCCATGTTCATTTGAGGGGATACAAGTCTAGAAATTTCAGGGGATGGTGCGCACCATCTGCCCAGCCATTGGTTCGTAGCCGTACTGCCTACCGGGTACCCAGCCTGGCAAACATGGCAGTGGAATGACCATGAGCCAGAGTTCCATGATTTTCCCAGATGCAGATGCCCATTTACCATCTGGTTATGACTAACGTAGCGAACTGGAGAATCAACATGCTTTTAATAGGTAAATCACCTATATAAACATCTATTTCTATGGGCCATCTATACCATGGCTATGTTAGTCATAACCAGAGGGTAGTTCGGGGATTTCCCAGCTTGCAACTGCGATACCAATACCAATTGGCATTTGCGTCCTGATACCAATCGCTGGGCTAAGAAAAGTTCGTCGAAAAAAATGAGGGCCCACTAGCAGCCCAGAGCAGCTGAGTGTAGAATGGCCCAGAAACCTGAAGATGTGAGTGTGTCTGGGAAGATTCAGTCCATGACAGCAGTTATATATATATATATATGGTATATATATGGTACCCCCCCCCCTGGTACCTACCTTTCCTTGATTTATACTGTAAATTACAGTATAATTTGCTTATTTTCATATGTTGAATTTGATAGGTTTTTTATATTGAGTTTCTTGAGACATGAGTTCAGACTTGAGTTCAGACTTGAGTGTCATAGTCTCGATTCCTGCTACCCAAGATCCAAGATCCAAGATTTCCAGAAAGCTTTTTATATTGAGTTTCTTGAGCCATGAGTTCAGACTTGAGTTCAGACTTGACTTCAGACTTGAGTGTCATAGTCTCGATTCCTGCTACCCAAGATCCAAGATCCAAGATTTCCAGAAAGCTTTTCTTGGAAATCTTGGGATAAACCCAAGATCCAAGATCCAAGATTTCCAGAAAACTTTTCTTGGATGCACTTGCAGAATCTTGGATGCACCCAAGATCCAAGATCCAAGATTCCCAGATTTTTTTTCTTGGATGCAGGCTGGAAATCTTGGATGCACCCAAGATCCAAGATCCAAGATTTCCAGAAAACTTTTCTTGGATGCACTTGCAGAATCTTGGATGCACCCGAGATCTTGGATCTTGGGTTTATCCCAAGATTTCCAAGATTTCCAAGAAAAGTTTTCTGGAAATCTTGGATCTTGGATCTTGGGTGCATCCAAGATTTCCAGCCTGCATCCAAGAAAAATTTTCTGGGAATCTTGGATCTTGGATCTTCGGTGGCAGGCTTTGTAGGCAAGTGCCACTCTTTACCTCAATATAATGTTATGCCTCAACAGCTTCATCCTTTTGAATCCACCCTTCCTAAAGTGTCAAGCACGTGAACCACGTGGTTCGTGCAAAGTACTTGCTGTAGTTTGCCCAAGTGAGAACTTGTAACGCAGCACTTTGTGCAAAGGCTTCATAGCTTCATCCTTTTGAACCCACCCTCCCTCAAGCATGTAACCGTGATTCGTGCAAAGTACTTGCTGTAGTTTGCCCAAGTGAGAACTTGTAACGCAGCACTTTGTGCAAAGCCTTCATAGCTTCATCCTTTTGAACCCACCCTCCCTCAAGCACGTGAACCACGTGGTTCGTGCAAAGTACTTGCTGTAGTTTGCCCAAGTGAGAACTTGTAACGCAGCACTTTGTGCAAAGCCTTCATAGCTTCATCCTTTTGAACCCACCCTCCCTCAAGCACGTGAACCACGTGGTTCGTGCAAAGTACTTGCTGTAGTTTGCCCGAGTGAGAAATTATAACGCAGCACTTTGTGCAAAGCCTTCATAGCTTCATCCTTTTGAACCCACCCTCCCTCAAGCATGTGACCGTGATTCGTGCAAAGTACTTGCTGTAGTTTGCCCAAGTGAGAACTTGTAACGCAGCACTTTGTGCAAAGCCTTCATAGCTTCATCCTTTTGAACCCACGCTCCCTCAAGCATGTAACCCACATGGTTCTTGCAAATGACTTGCTGCCAGCACAGATGTAGTTACGAAGAAAGGAAGGAATTAACAGTAAAAAGTAGGTATCAGGGGGGGGGTTAGCATATATATATATATATCTCTCCTGTGTCACTTTTTGGTTGTTGGCTTCCCAATGCTTACCAGTGATGCATTGTATATATATATATATGTCAAATTGCATGATGTGAAAATCTCAATGTCATCATCAAGTCATCATCCATGAGGTGGTTGCTTCGTGCCGTGCTTTTACATATTTCCTCTCCATGACCAGCTTGCTCTCTTACCACATCAAGCATCTCTATGTTGATTGCGTTGTGGGAAATGTCGTCCATAGAAGCTATGTGCCCATTCCGTTGTACCTCTGCAACTCCCGACAGCTTTGCAGTTTGAGTCTGACGCCTGCCATGCGTTAATGCCGTTAATGGGGAAAGTCGAAGAAGAGGGAGATCAATTGCAATGAGATTTAATCAACCAAAAATTCTGAAGATATTAGGGATTATTGGGAGTATGAATATAGTACAGAGTTATAGAATATATGATTAACACTATGATAATGTTGTTGGGTTTTTTATGATTGACTACGCCGGAAGATGCAGATCAAATTCGGGGTAGCAACTGTTTTCAAACAAACCAGTCCGCATGGGATTTCCAGATGGCTGAATACGGCTAGCCGTCATTTTGAGCCATAGGCATAAGCCAAAGTCAACTCATCCTTGGTCAATGTTGCGGTTGGGGCCTTGAAACTTGTTGGTCACTCTTCATAGTTGGAGGATTGGGATTCCAGCCTGAAATCTTTGCTAAAACAGAAGGAAGGCAGCACGAAGGAAGGAAGGAAAGGAGAAAAGGAAAGCAGGACAGAAAGCAAGAAAAGTAAAGCAGAAAAGAGTAGGGAGTGGGTTTCAGAAAGGAATACTGGCAGAAAGGAATGAAGACAGAAAATCAGAAAGCGTATAAAACAAAGATCTTATCCAACAAATATCCCTAGACTCAGAATTCTGTCTTCTTGGCCAATGTTATCTTTCATTTTTTGTTTGCTTTGTTTTTATTTCTTGACCCTTGGTTCGGGAGTCGTGTCGTCGTACCCTCAGGGGCTTTTTGCTGGTGCTGATGGTCACGCTTGAGCCGGTTCTTTGGTGCTTGGGCGAGTTCGCTAATCCCATCTCACATTTCGAGATCTTCACCACCAACTGCCCTGCTGCAACCGATGATTTGAAGAACATCTATTCAGTCTGTGCTTCTTTGGCGTCGCTTCTCTATTGGTTTCTCCTGACAGATTCTCGATACAGCAAGCGAGGATAGGATAGGATACCCAATAAACCGTGTGAAACACAATCTGTCAACACCTAAAAGTGGAACAAATGTCAGTTTGGGCTATATAATGCCAGCATTTTAATGATAATCATTGTGTATGCCCATGCATGCCCCAGTTCTGGAGAAGTTTGGGATACACATGAATATCAAAGATAGAAATGATGTAACAGTTGGGATAGCCAATGGAATACCCTCTGGTAAACTAACATAACCGTGGAAAATCCGCTATAAATGACCATTTTCAATAGCTATGTTTGTTTACCAGAGGATAACCTATGGAATATTGGAGAAACCCCTTCGTTTTTGTTTCATTCCCGTTGCTTGAATCCCCATCGAAAAAAAAAAACTGATGTTGACCGTCTGTTGATTGGCTGGGAAAATCATGCTTGATTATGGTAGGCAACATGAATGTTCATATGATTTATAGGTGAAATCAAAGCTTGTGTTGGTTTAATTCCTCTATTTGTGTCCGTCAAATCCCTTTTTATAGGCACATGTTGATTTCTATTCCAATTTTGTGGTGGATACACACATGAATTCATCATATCGTATGTATAGGCGCGCAGTTGCAATGTGACCCCCATGAATCATGCTGCATGCAAGAAAGCATGGTCTTTCCCATACGAATCGTGTTTCTCCGCAAATCCAAATTTCTTTTTTGTTTTTGAGTTGTTTGGTTGGAGTTCAAGTTTCCAACAGAGATGTTTGGAATCACCCTACTAACAAAGCAGCACAGACTTGAAATCTTTTCTCATTCAACCTGTTCCAGGTTCCAGGGGCCGAAGGGGCCTGCCATGATACAAAGCATGATCATGTCAGGGCTCAACAAAACATGGTCAAGTGAAAAACAAGGGGTGGCAAACCAATCGGGTGCCTATATACTGTAGAGTATATTTATACAATTTTAATCAATTTTATACATGTATTCGCTCAGTTTATAACTGTCCATGTTTGGATATGTTTATATAATGGGGTAAACTTGTTTCGCCAAGCTGTGCCTTGCATCCGTACAAGGTGGTCACCCCAGATGTTGCAACTTGGTGGTGCCCGGCCCGTGCCGGGGTGGAAGTTTCGAAAAGTGGACACTTCCCATAGGAAGAAGATGGCCATGAAGCTGTGAGGTGCATCAACGAATGAGCAAATGGCGGTTGAGATGCCAATGAGATGACATGAAAGAATCCATGCACAACTGTCCGAATGAACCCATGAACCAATGAATCAATGATGTAATGAACCGATGCTTCAGTGAATCGATGAATCTGTAAATCAATAGAAATGAATGAGTGAATTGAAATTAGCGAGTCGATGAAGCAGTGAGTCAATGAGTTTATGGTCCAGTGAACCAATGAATACATGAATGAGTGAGTTAGTGAGCCGATGAATGAATGATTCAATGAATCAGTGAATCCATGAATCAATGACTGAGCGAATGAACGGTTGGATGGATGAATGAATGGAATGATGGACGATGAGAGAGCTACTTCTTTCTTGAGCTACACTGCTTCACTGAGCACAGCGCCCTATTCGCTCAGGTACCTCTTCTCTCAGCTGCTTCTTCTCTGAGCAGCCTGTTATTTGGGCTACTTCTTCTTTGACCCTGCCCTGAGCTGCCTCCCAGCTCACTCTTCTGTAGCTTCGGCAGCCCAACTCTTTTCTTCGTGCAGCTGTTGCAATGCGTTTAGCAATCCCCAGCTGCAATCCCGAATAAGAATAGCACTATTGTCTAAAACTACCTTTCGCGCAGCTGTTACAACGCGTTTGGCAACCTCCAGCTGCAAGCTCCCAGAGCAAGAGCGTCACAGCATCACCACAACAAAACCAAATCGACCAACATTCGCGCAGCGTCACCAGCGCTGACCCAGCCACACAAATCCGGGGCTGCCCCGAATGCCGAAGGCCTCAGTTATTTCACGTATGAAATCGTTCTCTGGCCACAGATCGTCGCCCAAAAGTGCTCCGCACTCGTCTTTTGGTTTACATGTTGAAGTGCGAATCGAGCTTTCCCAAACCACGGAAAGAAAGACCATGTTTCGGCGACCCCAGGAGCCACTATACGTGTAAAAACCACAGCTTTTGTTGCCAGAGTGTTTTCACCCGTGAATTCGCGCCCTCCTGGACTGTTGCACTTCCCACAACTACTTGGTAATGGGTGGTTGACATGATGATGTGTAAGGCTATGTGTGGTTGACATTATGGTGTGAATGCTAATTGCTAACCATGACCATCGTCCGTAACTCGGAAGTTTGCTATCTAAACTTCCTTTGATAATTATCATAAACACAACAGCTTACCAAGCGAACAGGGACTCCACCTTGTAATGCATGTATGTATCCCCCAATTTAACCAATACGTCATCGAGTGAAACATGGTCATGATATCCCCAAAAATCACCACACGATATCCATTTTTTGATACAGACCATCAGCTTCTGGCTAGCTTAGTTAAATTACAAAGCACCAGAAATATGTATAACCTTAGAGCTAAATCACCATAAAACTTGATAAAGTTGATCATTACCTCACCCTATTCCTTCACCGGAATGATGGGAGTTGGATGAAATCGTCATCACAGTGGCAGTATGATAACAATTATTTGCAGTTTAGTGAATTATGGTGAAATCCGGATATATCATATTTTCATATATCTTCATATCTCGACCATAAACCATAGGTCTATTGGTTATAACCAGTCATAAATTGGTTTAAACATCCCCCTGCCTATTTAATCAATAAAGTTCGGAGGTCGAGGCCCAGAAACCATAGCATTTTATAGAGGCATTTTCCTCCATAAAGTTCAAATCTGGCAGCCAAAAATGGTGAGATATTTAAGATTTTTTGGGGTATACCATGGTGTTTGAACTTTAAAAACATGTTTTGTTGGTTTCCCTGTTTTTTCTCATGAAAAAAACCAGCCGAAACGCATTTTGTATTGGGGGCAGCTGGCATTGTAGGAAACCAGTTCAAGTTTGTAGGGTTGCATGCTGTCATGTTGTGCAAGGGTTTCAACTTTATAGCGACCCATGTTTTTTTGCCCAAAATGGGTGATGCCGGAGGCAAAACATGGCAAAACTACCTCAAAAAGTGATGGGTCATTTATTCGGATTGGCTTGAACAGAGGAGGTCTCTCTAAGGTTAAGCGTTTCTCTTTTTGAAGTTCAGTTCCTGGGTTGGAAAATTTTTAGGTGAAAATTCAGAGCCTTTTTCCAAGGCACGTTAACCCATGATTGGGTAGGTTTTTGGTTTTGTGTCCACCTAAAAAAAAACAAAAAGAGGCTCAATACCATAAGGGTGCTAGCCACTTTGGATTTTTAAATGTGATGGTCTGGGGACCATTTTCCAATTTGTAGCTCTAAAGTTCGGGTTCCAACCCTCTGCCTGAATTCACAGGGGGATTTTTGAACCACATTGTATGTATGTATGTATATATATATATATATGGAGCTTTCTTAAGATGGGGGATCCTCAGTCGCCGCCATAGGTTTCAAGTCCCTAAGTGGTGGTCGAATGGTTTGGACCAATGAATAAGGCATTTCGGGGTACCGCCATGAGCCTCCATATGGTTTCAAATATGTCAGCAACCATATAGTTCTTATCTATTTTTTATAATCAGCGATGAGTTGATTTATAACCCTGCTCGAAAACGATTATACAGATTCCATTGTAGGATTTGGCCGTCTTCTCCATGCGACTCTACGCCTTGCTCTTGGTCTGTGAAGTGGTGGCGATGGAGCTGATTCTCTTCCTGGCCTCCGCACTATTTTTGCACCCTGGATACCATTCGGGATGGTTAAACTCGGGTGAGTTTAAGCAAGAAAATTAAGGGAATGTTCCTGTTTGTAAATGGAAATTCGACCAGGAAAAGTTGTGATTTTCACATTTGTTTTGTTTTTGTTTCACCTTTGATGAGCATCTACCCAGGGGGAGTCTTGAGAAAAATGGAAAAGCTAGAGGGCACAAGGAGGGATGGCCCATGTGTTTGCCCACCCAGGTGGGCCTGACAGGGAAAGCCACCTCCAAGTCCGGAATTGCAGACGGTCATTAATTATCAGCCACTGATAGGCGTTTATCAACCAACTTTTCAATCCCATTACATCTGATTACTAATTCAATTCTTTGTCCGTTGTCAGATGTGTTTCTTTGTCAGTTCCGAAGAATCTTCAGGCTGCGACGGTGCCAGAAATGGAAATAAGTTCTCTCTTGGTTCATCCCAAGTCGATATATTTATATATATTTATAAGGAGCACACAGCACACATGTTAATTTGTCTGTTTTTGGTGGATCCCACAATACAGTATACATATTCGAAGGAAATTTAGAAGTCAAACTTCCGACAATATGGACAGATGAAAAGCAGAGATGGGAAGAGTCAGAGAAGAGAAGAGCAGAAGAAAGAATATCAAAAAGAGAAAGTCTCCGAAGAAACAAGATCCAGGTGCGCGTAAAGGTAGGAAACACTATGTGTTTCCAATGGTTTGTGGCTCCGGAGGGTTGAAAAGTAGGCTCGCTAAAGCGGCGGGTGCGGAGCCAGCTGGCCAGATGAGAGATGAAAAATTGCACGCCGTTGTGGCGCGAAGCAAATTTCTAAGCCAACATGTACAAAACACACCAACGTCGGATCACTTTTGGAAGTTGTGATATCGAAAAAGTGCACGCCGTTGTTGCGCGAAGCAAATTTCGAAGTCAAAACGTACAAAACACCTCAGCTTCGGAGCGCTGTTAGGCGTGGCAAGGGATTTATGCACCTGGTCAAAAGTGAGCAAAGCGTGAGGGTTTTGTAGCAGTTTCAAAAACGATGGCAGGCGTGGGAAGAGGATCTGCAAAGATGTCTTTCGCGTGGCAGGCGCAGTACAAGAGACATGTTCATCAGAGCTGTTCCGAGGCCAGGGCGCTGATTTCCTGAGAAGGGTTGCATTTTGGAGCATCAGATCTTCAGCTTTGCTCAGATGATTTTGCGTGACAGGTGCAGCACTTCGTATGACCTTGCATCACTTTACTTTTTAGTGACAGGCGCAGCACTTTAGGCAGATGGAGTGGAAAAAATCGCAAAACGCATTGGTACGAGGCCGTCAGCTCTGCACTCAACGTAGAATTGCTTCGTTTTTGATTTTGCCAAGTTCAAAAATTGAGGAAGTCTCGCAGAATTGCTGCGTTTTCAAGCTTACAGATAGACAGACAGACAAACAGGCAGACAGACAGACATATAGATAGATAGACAATCACAACTACAACTAGAACTACACTACACTACTTCTACAACTACAAATGCAAAGATACTACGCTACATTACACTAGACTAATTACACTAGACTAATTACACTAGACTAATTACACTAGACTAATTACACTACACTACACTATACTACACTACACTACGCTACACTACGCTACACTACGCTACACTACACTACACTACACTAATTACATCTAATTACACTACACTACGCCAATTACACTACAACGGCAACAACAACAACAACTACTACTACTACTACCACCACAACTACAATTACAACTACACTACGCTACGCTAATTACACGCCAGTACACTACAGCTACAACTACAGCTACAACTACAACCACACTACATTACTCAACACTACACTACACTGATTACATTGCACTACAACTACAGCTACAACTGCAACTTGCAACTACAACTACAACTACACTAGACTACACTGGGTGGGCAAACACATGGGCCATCCCTCCTTGTGCCCTCTAGCTTTTCCATTTTGCTCAAGACTCCCCCTGGGTAGATAGTACGTTCCCAAGAAAATTAAGAAATTTTTCACATTTGGAAAACCACCATGTTTGATAGGCAAATCATTGAACGAAACGCGCAATTTCATAGCTATGTTAGTTTGCCAGAGGGCAAGCACCAAAACTTTGGATGTTCCTGTTTTTTAAATGGGCATCTAGCCAACAAAAAGCAAATTGTTAACTAAGAATGGAACATTGGAGCCAATCATTGGGGCATAGGACCCAGCAACTTTGTGGGCACATCCACATGGGTGTGTCCAAAAATTGGGCACTCAGAATTGGATCCCGTGGTCGAGAACATATGTTTGCGCATTACTGCAACATGGCAGTTTTGAGCGTATCTTGCGCATGGAAAAACCCTGATGTTTTCGAAGGTGGTAAGTCTCTCGAGTCTTGGTAAGCCAAGGTTTTGAGTGTTTTGCAATCAATGGGTCCATATCCCAACCAGCTAAAAGCAATACATATGCCAGGATATGCCAGGTATTTAAGATCAACCAAAAAGTGGGTTTGAAATATGATACTGTAGGTGTTGGATCGGCTACATTCAGTGGGATGATCCTCTACTGGAATGATCTGAGATCGGAATGGCTAGGATCACTGGATTACCCTCTGGTAATAAAAAGGACCATTTACAGTGTCTTTTCCCATTAAACATGGTGATTTTCCAGTTTGTTATGTTAGTTTATCAGAGGGTATAACGATCACCATCTAGAACTCCTCCTTGATTTGGGAGAGTTTTTCTTGGTTCCTAGCCGTAGAAACTCGCCACGGCTCGAGCCGCTGAAAAGCTTCAACGATCATGTCATTTTGACGACAGCTGTGTTTTTGAGGCCTCCATGGATTCCACCATGACCACGATCATCCATATATTTTTCCAATATGGATCATTGTGAGATCTTCAGGATCCAATTTATGGAGGTACCGATTCCATATATTTTTGGCCTATTTTTTAGGCCTATGTAAGTGCATATCACCACAAAATATGGCCAGAAATGTGGTACAGTACCTCCATTTTAGGATCCTGAAATTCCCATTCAATGGAGCGAGGGTTAAATTGTTCTTGGGATGGTCAACATTCTACTTAAATTGCATGGGATTACAACATTGAAAAAACGTCCCCGGTTTGTTGCACCTACTCATTCAACTCCTTATTCACGATTGACCATGATGATCACCGGACACCACCAATCAGATAGGCATAGCCAGGCGACTCAGATTTGGTTTGCCCAAAAATGTGGTAAAACTCAATTGCCCTGTTTCCACGGCAGGAATGCAATTGTTGAATCTTTTGGAGTTGTAGAGGTATGTAGAAGACAAAGCCAGGTTCAGACAAGCCCATATCTTGATATATATCTTGTACCCTTGGGCGTAAGTGGTTTGCGCCCATACTTAATTGCCCAGCTGCGTTGGACTGAGCCACGACCCAACCTGTTTAAATTGAAAGAAGGGTCACATTGGATGAACTGGTTTGTACCCATAATTTTCACACCACTTAGTCTGCATCCCATATATCTCAAGTATCCCGTTTTTTTTTCAGGTTGAATTTACAGGAACCCCCCAACAAAAGCATGGGGAAAAACCGTGGCAAGACTTGCAGAGGATTTTATCCTTCTCCACGGCACTCAATGCCTTGGATCACAGCATCGAAGACTTTGAAGGCGTGCCACGCTGGGCCAAGAGCTTGGGACAAATCGTGATCAACATGTTGCCCACCAGCTTCTATTATGGACTCTTGACGGCTTTTGGTTTAGATTTTAGATGTTTTTTTTGACACCCTGGCAGGAGCCACGTGTTTGGCATTGTTTGGAAACACACATAAAAAAAAAAGGTTGCTTGAAGCAAAGAAGGGCCAACAAAAAGCAAAGGAAATGACAATAGGTCAGCAACACCAAAACGTAGGTTAGATCTGCAGTGGTCTAGATTGGCAATGGTTTTTTACAATCAAAAATATGAAAATATATGAATAAAAATGAAAACATATGAACAAATATGAAAACATATGAATAAAAATGAAAAACATGAATGACAATGAAAAACTATGAATAATAATGAAAAATGAATACATATGAGAAACAATAAGAAAAAACATCAAATTAAATCAGAAAGGACAATGGAATCATTTTTATTTTCAAAAAAATAAAAATTATCAACAGAAAACTCAAAAAATCTCAACATATTTCAACATTTCTCTAATGTTGTTGTTCAAACGTGGTTTTGCGAGACTGGGTTCTGTATTGCATATTTTCTGGACCATAGAAAATCTCAAAAAAATCAAAAAAACTCAAAAAATCTCAAAATCTCTCAAATTTGCTGGAAAAAAAACAAGAAAAAAACAAGAAAAAACCAAATAAACTAACGCAACCTTACAACAACTTTGCCGAGGCCAGCGGCAGAATTGCTGCCCAACTGTCAGCTGTTATCATATTTCCTTGTGTTGTCAAATGTTGAGCTTCTAGGGTGAAAGGATTTACAACACATTTGCTTGTCACATGATGTATTGCTATGTATTGCTTGATAACCCCAGGGAGGTCCCACAGCAAATAAATTCAAATAAAGTCAAATAAATTCAGATACAATCAAATAAATGATTAAATATGGGGGAAAAAAAATTAATTTCAAAAATATGTTGTAATATGATACTGGTGGCCCAAAACCTTGTTGTGGGAATCCCCTAGCAATCCAACCCACCTTTTGGTTTCAATGAATAGGTGCATCATTCTCCGTGAGCCTCATCACTTTAAAGTGCCAATTCAGAGTAAGTAATTACTCTCAGCAGTGTGTGTGTGTCTAAAATGGGATATACAAAGATGTACTGGTTGGTGGTTGGAACATTTTTTATTTTCCATAATATATGGGATGATCCTTCCCATTGACTAAATATTTTTCAGAAGCGGTTCAAGCCACCAACCAGTTTACCACTCAAATTCATGGGCGGAAAAACTGCATGTTGTCACCTAGCTTCTTTGGTGGGTTCCCACCACTTTCAGACAGACCCCTCTCATATGCCCGTTGTAGGCCCCCAAAATATTTGCTTTGAAACATCACCATCTTGTTGGTTAGTTATATAATATGTTTTTTTTAAATAAAACAAAAATAATATATGTATATATGTATATATATTTATGTACTTGTAATTGTTTATAAAACAAATATATATATATATATATATATGTGTGTGTTATTTTCATATTTATATATTTTACATTTACAATACTGTTCATATTCATTGCCTTCCTTCATCATACATGTGTAACAGAGTTGCATGCATGCATGCGCCAAACAGCAAGAGGCCAAGTAGCATCAAGCATTGTCGATTCCAAGCGTTTAGAGACGGTTTCTGTTATACTGATTCTGTGGTTGCACTCATCCAAGTTCTGGCGATGTTCTTGTGGATTTCTGTTGGGTTTTCAATTTCTGTGCATGGGTTACGGCAGACACGGGGACCAGCGCATTTTGTGCATTCCTTTGGTTCAAGCTATTTAGGGACAAGAACGTGCTGCCTTCATCCCCATGTGCTGTCATTTCCCAGATGTCCGAGGAGGTGTTCCAATTGCAGGAAGCCTTACGGATGAACCAGCTGCAGATCAAGCATGCCTTGCAAAGAAGGCGGCACAGTAAGAAGCGCGAAGCTTCTGGTGGCTTGGGCCCTGCTGGACAGAAGGCAACCATAGCTGTATACCTGCTGAGCGACCAGAATCTGGAACTCAGCGTGCGTATGTTGCAGCACTGGGCTGCAGCTGCGTCGCCAAGCTCCATGGACCCTGGTCGCATTGTGGAGGACTTGGTCTTGCAAACACCAATGGAAACATTGAGGCAAACCTTTGCACCTGAGACGCAAGAGTGGCGACTGGCAGTGGCCCGGGCTAAGAAGTTTCTAGCTGAAGCTACCGCTCGTGACTGGGTAGCCCAACTGAATGTTGGTCATGGCGTGGCACCTTCGGCTACTGAAGTATATTGGCAGTATGAATCGGTTCTGAAAGGCACTGACCCTGAAGCACGCCTGCCTGCCGCACGAATGGTGCGCAAGTGGGTTTGTTGCTGGCGTGGCCGCTGGGGCGTTCGCCGCGGCGCCATCCGACCAAAGTTGCACATTGAAACGCCCTTGCTACAAGCAAAGGCTCTAGGGATAGTTGCTTCCAGGGTGTCCATTTTCTTTCCGTTTAGGGGCCATTGTGGGTAGCAGTTTCGGTCCCGTTTTGGGAACGGGATTTGGTCCCAAAAAAGGGTCCGCCCAGAGGCCCCGAAGCTAAGGTTGTCTATTTCCGAGGCCACTTTTTGGGACCATTTTTTGGGACGCGAAACGAGTCTAAGCTGGGCCGTTCCATAGCGTGCTGTTCCACCTGGTAGGTGGAAGCCTTTTTGGCGGCAAGTCTGCTACATCAGGCGGAAGTTTGCCACTACAAAGCTGGTGTTTCTCAACTTAGACGAGACATCCATTGGCTACAGCTTGATACCGCAAGCGGGCTGTGTCACTGCAGAGCATGGGCGCCAAGTGCCTTTTACTGCGAAGGTGAAGAAGGAGAATCACAGAGGATGTTTCACTTATGTTGCTATTATTTGCACATGTACAAGCCTACAAGGAAAGTTACCGCACTACTTGCTTGGCAGCCGTGCACGGTTGACAAAGGCTGTGATGCGCGGCCAAGCCGCATTGCCGCAGACAAACCTGAAAGTGCTAGCACAGCAATCGGCGTGGAATTCTTCTCCTTGCATGGTGCAGATTCTGGAAGAAGTTGCAGCTGTCATCAAAAGTGTGTGCAGCGCAGGGACCCAAGGGGTCTTGCTGTTAGATTGTGCGCCATGTCATTTGACGCCAAGTGTCCTGAAGGCAGCTGCAGTGTCTGGCCTGCAACTCGCGTTCGTGCCAGCCAGTGCCACGCATGTGGCTCAACCCTTGGACGTGGCAGCATTCAGTGGCTTCAAGAAATGGCTTCAAAAAGAGCATCGCTCTCTGCGCAGCACTTCTCCTGATGGCTTTATTAATCCATTGGCTTGGGTGTGGCATGTCATGCAAGCCCCTCGTAGCTTCTTCGCAGCCAAGCCGTGGAAAGCAGCTTTTGCTGGAGTTGGAGCAGCTCCACAGCAAGAGATGTCAAGTTTAAACGCAAGCATCCGGCAGCTCATGGGGAACCCAAGTAGCTTGCCCGATAGCAAGCCGAAGCCAGCTGAGCTGGCGTGTATGTGGCCAAAGAAACGGTGCATGAAACACATGCAGAAACTCTTGTAAATAGACTTCCAATGGAAGCAGGCAAAAGTGATGCACTATGAGGGCCCACAGTCGTCACACCCTAAATTCCAAGCTTTTCGGGTCCCATTTCTGGTGCCCAATTCAGACATGTTTTTGCCAGTGGCCCACCGACGGATGAGAGAATGGGGGTTGCAAAATGTTGGAAAGCTGTTCTGTATAGTAGCTGTGCTTCTGGACGCCGCTGTGCGTAGCTGAGGGCAGCGTGTACGCTCCTGGGTGCTGAGTGCACAGCTGGGGGTACGCTACTAATTTAGTACAGCCTAGAGTAGATTACATGTGGGGTCTAGAAATTAAATGCATGTTAGGTTGCTGTCATCCGGGATCTAGGAGGGTTGGAAGACATGTGCGGAATTGAGTGAAGGACATGGGGTCATCGGCGGACTGTGACGCCTGCAGCTTTTGAGGGACCTCAGTTTGACACTCGGAACCACTCCTGTGTGTGTGTAACAGTGCATGGCTGACAATGGCGCTGGTGGGGCTGCTGCTGCTGGTGCACCTCCTGCTGGTGTTGCAGCGCGGGCAGATGGCAGCACTGAAGCCGTGCAAGCTTTGAAAGAAGAACGGAAGGTGCTGAAGCTACAGCTGAAAAGGGCCACGGCTTCAATCAAACAGCAGGCCAGGGCAATAGTCTAATCCCAGCACCGGCATCATCCCTGTCCGCATATCCCTGACAGGAACGGCGGCTGCGAGCTCTCCGTGCCAACAAGGCTGGCGCGCTGACAGTGGCTGATTTGCAATACTTGCTGGCTCGAAAGCTGCGCGAGTGAGACTGCTACTATGCTCCCAATGGCATGCTGCATCCCAAAGGGCTGTAGTCTGCACCTGTCTGTACCTGTCTGCCACCTTGCTGAACACCTGGAGAGATATGATATAGATAGACATTGCCATATACATAGATACATCAACATACAATATATACTGTAAGGGCCCACCAACTTGAAGCATCGAATGCCTTCATTTTAAGGGCGCAGAAACCTGCCTTAACACATGGCGGACAATGTGATTCTTTCCTATGATGTTGTTGTTCTTGTTGCGAGACAGAGAGGAACAATTTGAGTCACCGTGTCGCAGCCTTTTTGGATTCAGCTTGCGGAGACTGTTGTGCACCACACAGCACATTGAGCATGTCTGATGCAGCAAGTGATGATACCGAACGGCGAAGCCATGGTGCAGATGACGCTGCTGCAGCTGGTGGGGGTAGGACGCCTGTTGCGGCAGCCCCACCGGATCCACTTCCACAATTGCGCGCTGAGAGGCAGACGCTGAAGCACCAGCTCAAAGTCGCTACGAAGCAGATAAGGAACGAGGCAGGCCCAGGGTTTGAGGAGCCACTTTCGGGAACCACTTTTAAAGCAGGGTGTGGTCTAGAGGACAGTAAGATCAGTAAGAACCACTTAGAACCCAATGAGGTTCGCAGAGGCGATTGGAGTCACAGAACTTGCTTTGGTGTTCTAAGAATTTCTTCTTATGGATCTTAGACTCTAAGAACCTTTTCTTGGTTTGCAGAAGGTCTTAGCAAAATGTTGGTACTTTGAACCTTGTACAACTAGGCCCCTCCGGACTGGGCCCCTAGAGTTACACCCTAGGGTTGCTCTAGACAATCATTCCTGTTCCTGTATCTTCTTGCTTTTTAAGTTCGTTAGTTTGGGAGAATCAGAGTTCGTTAGTTTGAGCCACTGTGAAGGAGCGCCGTCGCAAAAATTTGATGAGGAGAGCCGGGAAGCTTTCAGCAGCTGATTTGACCTGGCTTTTGGCCCGTCGGGTTGTGCAATGAGAACTTGAAGTTTTTTGCATGTTGACAGAAACCCGCTTAAGGTGGGTGCGTGCAATGACTGACTTGGATGAGCTGTGTCGACCGACATGGCAGACCTGAAACCATTTCACACTTGCCAGCTCGTTTAATCGCTGCAGGCAACGTGTGTGCAGCTGTGGGTTGTTGTTCGAAAAACACCGCTGTCCCGCTACTGGAAGGCATAACATTGGGTGAAAGCATCATATGACAAAATTTGTGTGTGTACCATCAGAGTGTAGCGTGCTTTGTGGCACTCTGAGTATCTGTTCTTATCAGTGCGACAACTGATATGTCTCCAACTGGAGACTTGCTTGTCACATCAGTTTTGCTGGGGAAGTGTCTTTCTGAACTTGCTTGGGAGCCTTCATGTGTTGTGCTGGCGTGGCACTGCGCTCAAATCAATTTTAGACCATCATCGCTTTGAACGCTTTTTCCATGGTATGCCGAACTCTGCTCTTCAATGAATGCGGGAGCTGCAGCGGCATGCGCTTGGATTCCAGGACATGCTGGGCCAGGGGTTGGTTGAGAAAAAGCTTAGTTGCTTGGAGGTTTTAGCAGGTATCCTGCATGAATAACTTTGCAAGGTCCCCATCGCATCAAAGATCTTGATAATGCAATGTCATGAGCAACATTAAATGTAAACCTGTGTGTGTTTTCTAGGTCGCTAATTCCGGGTTGTGAAACATGTGTATGGATCGTCCAGCTCGCTGCTTGAATATGAATATGAATATATAATATATATATATATATATATTGATTGGTTTTATACTATATTATATTTAATATATATATATATATATATACCAGTAGTACCGCACAAGGCGGTGGCGGAAGTTTCAGAATAGGAAACCTATAGGAGAGGTTGGTTGTTGTGAATCACGGATGGCAGAGCGAATCCACTGATTGACCGAAAGGTGGTTGGAGTTGTGATTGTTGGAGTGGTTGCAATGGTTGCAGTGGTCACCTCACCCACAACTGCAGGATGTAGTGTGTGGTGTAGTGCAGCTGTAGCTGTAACGTAGTGGAGTTGTAGTTGTGGTGTAGTGTAATTAGTGTAGTGCATTTGCAGTTAAATTGCAGTGTAGTGAAGTGTAGTGTAGTGTGGTGTAATGTAGTGTAATGAAGTGTCATGTACTGTAGTGTAGTGTAGCGTAGCGTAGTGTAGTGTAGTGTAGTGTGGTGTAGTGGGGTGTAGTGTGGTATAATTAGTTAAGGTAGTTAAGTGAGTTAAGTTAGTTAAGTTAGTCAGTGTCCACTTTTCGACTTCTGAACGTCAAAAAGTGGTCCGAACTCTCAGTTTTTTACACTTTTGACTTGGACCTCCAGAGTATTTCGATGTGAACCATCAAAAAGCACTAGATCGTCGAACGCTCTGGTTGCACATCCCTGACAAAGTCTTCGAGACGAAGCACCAGGTGCCGGGTGATAGGGAGTAAAACATCTTCTCTCTTCTGACTTTCTCCCTCTTTGATCTTCTCCATCTCTTATCTTCTCCTCTCTGACTCTTCCCACCTCTGCTTTTCCATCTCTCCATATTGTCGGAAGTTTGACTTCGAAACTTCCTTCGATAATGCGTAGAATACATATCGTATATAGCGTATATATGGAATATATACTTATGATATATGCAAATAATAAAGTATATTGATCTGGATATATACATTCGGGCACAAAACCAACACTGTTTTGTATACAAAGCCCCCCTAGATCCGGCAGGTTGTCTCGTGGGACAGTCCATGGCTCTCTGTCATGCTGGAGCGCCAACATCACGGACACATACTTGAAAAGCAAGAGACTTGGCCAAGATGCCCGATCATACCCTCAAGAACCAGCAGTAAGGCAGTAAGGTACCTTTATCATCTCTCCATGGTGTTTGGGGTGGACATCCTGCGTGGGGTTGGTTGAGATCTGTTGGTGCACGGTCCTCGCAACAGAAATCATTATACTTAGGTGAAATGACTTAGGAATAGTGGGTCGTACCCCAACATGCAATGGCCTATATGTTACCGAAGGAAATCAACAATGTGAAGAACCAAAAATCTGTTTTGCAAAATTTGGGTATATGTCGGATTTCCCCAAGAAGTTCTGGGTGTTTGCATTGGAGATCGCGCTCCTTTGATGTTGAGGTGTTGATTCATGCCCCTGAAAGCTGCAGCGGCGCTGCTTTGAGTGGCCAGCTTCATTTGGTGCTTTGCGCGCGGCTGCAGCGGCTGTGCAGACAGGACACGGCGCATGGGTATCCATGTGTCATCATATAATAGTTGGGTTCTCTCGATCATCTCCCCAGAGGAACCTTGGTGGTTGCATTCAAGTTTAACATTGGGTTGGCTGTGATCCGGCGACGCAATGTCGCAAGATCCTTAATGTCAACCCCGGATTAATAAACCCTAGGCTGTTTAATTGGGGGGGTACCATTTCAGTAGCGATTTATTACTATTTGGGGGAACCACCACAATTAATCAACCAGGGTTTATTAATCCGGGGTTGACATTACAACCAAACGTCATGAAAGCTAGGGGTGCTTTGTTAGACATTAACCTTCATACCATCACCATGATGAACAACATTAAATGATTTGGTGCAGATATCGGTACGTATGACATATCTCCTCAGAAACAACCTTGGGAAAGCCGGAGGCAGTTGCTGGTTCAAATGCCGGACATAGATCCGGCGGTGAGAGGCAGTGCTACTGAAAACCACAAGCATTGAGCGCCATCTCTCAAGGCCGTCAGTTAAATCAACCATGATATATTGGATGAGCCCACCATGGAGCTGGGATATTTTCGTGGCCATCCCAATCTCATTTTTTGTATAACATGCAGAGTACTTGACAACTCTCTGGTAGGAGGACTACTTGGCGCTTTTGTGGTGTCATTTTGCGTGGGAGGGGCAGTGCGTGACGCTGCCTTTGGCTTTTGTTTGTTTGTCTTATTTTTTCGTGGCAGTCAACTCTCTCATATGCTTTACATGGCAGGCGCAATATTTGATGAACCTCTAGTTCCATTTTATGTGGCAGGAGCAGTCTTTGGTGAACTTCTACTTCGATTTTTCGTGGCAGTTGCAGTATTTGGTGAACTTCTATTTCGATTTTTCGTGGCAGGCGCAGTAGTTGGGGAACCTCTAGTTCCATTTTTCGTGGCAGCCACAGTATTTGGTGAACCTCTAGTTCGATTTTTCGTGGCAGGCGCAATATTTGGTGAGCCTCTAGTTCGATTGTTCGTGGCAAGGGCAATATTTGGTGAACCTCTAGTTCATTTTTTCGTGGCAGGCGTGATATTTGGACAACCTCAAGTTCCATTTTTTGTGGCAGGCGCAGTATTTGGTGAACTTCTAGGTCCATGTTTTGTGGCGGGCGCAAGGAATCTGAAGCTCCAGGTTGCCAAACGTGTGGGGAAACGCTAAATCGTAACGTTGGATTCCAACGTTACCTTCAATTTCTGGCGACAGCTTCGCAAAAAACCTAAAATCGTAACGTTGGATCGCGGCAAAAAAGGAAATATTGTTAATTCTCTTTGAAACGCGTTCCAACGTTATGATTTTATGTTTTTCGTGGAACTCTCGCCGAAAACGGATCGTAACGTTGGATTCCAACGTTATGATTTGCGTTTTCGCTTAGGAGGTGTTGCAAGTGGGTTCCATTTTTCGTGGCAGGCGCAGTATTTGGTGAACCTCTAGTTCGATTTTTTGTGGCAGGCGCAGTATTTGGAGAACCTGTAGTTCGATTTTTCGTGGCAAGCGCAGTATTTAGTGAACCTCTAGTTCAGTTTTTTGTGGCAGGCGCAGTATTTGGTGATTCTTAGGTTTCACATGCAGGAGGGAGAGTGCTAGGTGATTTTACAATGGACATGTGGCATCAACCTCGCCGCTTTTTGGGGCCATGTCAAGCTCTTCTAACTCCGGCTCTGGCAGCTCTGGTTCCTCTGAAGAGGATAAACCATGTGTGACCCTGGAGAACTCTGAGACATCCTCCGAAGCTGAAGTCGCCTCAGCGAAAGCTCGGGCACGGGCAGGGATGTTCACATGGCCGTGTCCACGCCATTTTCATGCAGAGTTGTCAGAGCGCCAATCCGCGAGAGTCCTCAAGCCTGCTGATGTTTCTCGAGAAGACTTCTTGGAAACTTTCAAAACTGTGCTACGTCGCAAGGGCTATCTCCACAACCTCGTTAAGGCAGCAGTGGCAGACGAGCCGCACAAGCATTACCAAGCAGATGGGAACGCAAGAGAAAGGCACAAACATTTGATTTTCTTGTTTCGACAACCTTTCGTACATGCTAGTGTCTGCAAGATGTTGGGTGAGCAATTTGGCGCCCACGGGTTTTTTACCTTTCACCGAGCGGGCTGGGTGGCCTACTTGGATTATTTGATGAGCGAGAGTGCAAAGAAGCCGGCCCAGGACTTGGATCGTCAAATGGTTTTTTACCCCGCAGCATACACATGGCAAAGAGCCGAAGCTGAGCTTGGTCAGATGTCTTTGCAGATGTCAGGTCGACGCCAAAATGATGGCGTGCAGCAGCGCAAAGAACCTGAGCCCAAGCGCCGCAAACAGATGACTTTCAGTGAGCTGACGGACTTTGTCGTTGAGCGCGGTATCCGTGCTGTGGGCGCACTTTGGCAGGCTGGATTTGCGGCACTCAAGTGTCTTTATCACGGATTTTGGATTCTCTGTATCATGCAAGGACTACTTTCTGCAATAAAAGCAGCCTAACCTTGCCATTGCTGTAATCGGCTGACACTTGTTTCATTCTGGCCCAAAGTTTCACAAAATATCGAAGTTTCTATTTTTTGGCACCCCATCCTGCAGCCAGGAAGCCAAAGAGGAGAAAAAGGCCGGCAATCCATTGATTTGGAACCATTTGGGGTCCTTGCGAGATGCCAACGCAGAGTTGCAGAAGATCTTGGGTGCGTGGCACCGTCCAGAAACGTTGGGCGCTACAACTCTGGTGTCCACACCCACATTTGCGTTGACCCAATTTGTTTTGCCACCGCCTGTGCAAGAGTGGATGCAAACCGGTTACTCCAAAGTTGCTTTGATTTTGCAAGGCCCGCCCGGAACCGGGAAAACAGAAATGGCCCTCAGCATCCTCTTGAGCTTGTGCCCTGCTGGGGTACATTTCCTGTCAAAATTGGACCAAATCAGGAAGATCACCATCAATGGTGGACAAGGACTACTGGTTGATGAATGCACCTTCCGCAACATTGACATCGACGACGCGAAAGCTTGGACCGACATTGCCCACCCTCGAGACGTTCGAGCTAGGAATCAAGACGGTCACATTCCCAGTGCTGTGCCGAGGATATTCACAACAAATCATCACATAGGTCAATTTTGGCCTCCAGAGTATTTCGATGTGAACCATCAACAAGCACTAGATCGTCGCACGCTCTGGTTGCACATCCCTGACAAAGTCTTCGAGACGAAGCACCAGGTGCCGGGTGATAGGGAGTAAAACATAACGTTGCAAAAGCCCATTCAGGGGAGGCCGAGAGGCCAACGATCCAGTGCAGTCATCCAGTATTTAGGGAGGCCGACGATCCAGTGCAGTCATCCAGTATTTAGGGTGTCTCCCTTGAATGGCCTTACCCGATGTTTTGTCGTTGAGTGCTGTTTTTTTTGCCTGGAACGGTTGTGTGCCTCCCTTGAATGGACTTACCCAACGTTTTGTTTTTGAATCGTGGTTTTGCTCTGAATGGTTGCATATTAGAGGTGGTTTCTGCTTCAAACTCCCTTGAACAAATAGCCTGATCCAAGATTTTTAGCCGCATCTTCAGGACGTAGTACCCTATCCTATCCTGTAAACTCCACTCCATCATTGATATGCATACTGGAAAAAGTGGTCCATCTGCTTGCATGCGCAGGCTACAGTTGCAGCTCCAGGTTTCAAAGCGGGTTTGGCCTTGGGTGACAGCAAGGTTGCAGAGCCCAACACAACGCTGCTTTCTACTCCGGCTCCAGACATTGATTCAGTTGCTCAGCTTGACGAGGAAGAGCTCAATGACATGATGGAAGCTTCCAAAGACTTCTTCGGGGAATGAACGCTGGGGAATAGCTCTTGGATGAAAAACGCGCTGTGAGGAACTCTGTTTCAGAGGGCCTTTCCCCATTCAGATATTATTGGCAAGGGTCTGGTGTGTGGCTTATCGCAATCCAACAATGTTTGGGCTACAACTGTGATATGTGTTGATTGCTTGGTGGGTTTGCATAGCAGAAATCTGTTTGGACGATGATTCTGTTGGTGGGGGATTGGTGGGTGTCTTTACACACTCACATGTCATCTGCATTGGCCTTTAAAGCTTGCCACCTTCCAAAAATTTGAGGCTAAGATTGACACACCTTGGTTGGCAGGTTTAGCGTTCATGGCACCAAAACTTTTTGGAACATGGGTGATGCTCCTGCACGGGGATGTCCAAACCAATGAGATTTGCTCCAATTCAGGAGCCGGCGGCCGCTGCCACGCACTGTGGAATTTACAGGGACAAAAAATGAGCCCATTTTTGGAGCTGCGGTCCAGCTTCCCAGCCATGGGCCCCGCTTGTGTGTGTGTAGGGTATATAAGTATGCATTCAGCAATGTGATGTGATACAATAAGAGGTGCATTTGCGCCCAAACTTAAATGGTTTCGCAGATGTGTAAGAACCCGCTAGCCTGCAGAGTAAGTATCCTCAGTCAAAGCCTGGGTTTCCAGCAGGTACCGTGTAATTTCCTTGACTTCAGTACTGCAAGCGGCCCGATGAACAGCCAAGTGGCTATAAAAAGCTTTGTTATGTAGAATACTGAGCAGAAGACATGGTTCTTTGAATTATAAGGTATATATAATATATGACAACAATGCACCTAGGCACATGCCATCAGAACAGCCGAGCTGTAACTTGTTTCATGTCCCTGGCCACCGTCACTCTGGCGCAGAACAAAGCGGCTGAAGTCAAGGCAACTCTGGCGCAGAACCAAGCCAAAATCCGAAGTTGCCAACAGCAAGCCCGCCGACAGGCAAAGTCTTTGCTCCAGGGTGGCCTATCTTGCGCTGCCGTGAGGCGAGTTCTTGCAGTATATGCTGTATCAGAATGGGATTTGGGTTTGGCAGTGCAGGCAGCACAGCGGCTATCCTCTTTGGCTACATCTGATGCAAGATTTCCCACGTCAGAGTCTGTGCGGACACTCTTCACAGAGCATGACCTGGACGATTTGCTGCAGCTATTTGATGATGGCCATGCACTTTGGGTACCTGCGCGGAAGTTTGCTTCTCAGTTCCTTCGCGAACATGATATGTTCAGATGGATAAAGCATCTGAACCTTTCCCAAGGTGTGGCTCCATCGGCCGCGGAAGTGTATGATTTTCATGAGAGCAAGTTGTTTGGATGCACGCCATGTGGGCAACCTAGAAAACGCACCGTCAACAAATTTGTGGCCCGGTTTCGGGCTAGATGGGCTGTGCGGAGAGGGCGCCTGCGGGCAACTGATGCTGTGGATCCCGACCTTCTTCGCCAGAAGGCGGTGCTATTATTCCGTTTGCAAGGCTTGTTTTTGTGACCTTTTTCTGGGCTTAGAAATGAGGCGTTTTTGTTTGGCGGATCCATTTTCGGGCCCGGAAAACGGGCTCTTTTTTGGACCCAGAAATTACACCAAAACTTGGCAGGTGGCATCTTTCTGGAGATCAGCTTCCTACTTGGCCAACAAATTCTCCCACCAGGACATTGTTTGGATCAATGTGGATGAGACATGCGTTGCTTGCTCGCCGGCATGTCCAACAGGATGTGTGGTGGGTGCCCATTGCTGGAAGACTCACCCTGCCAATGCTCATATGAGGGTGAAGAAAGACACATCCAGGAAGACGTTCACTTATGTGGCCATGATCGCTAGCCGTCCTTGTATTCAAGCAGCCTTGCCCCATTTCTTGGTTTGCAGTGAAAGCCGGATGCCCAAGCTTGTTGCCAGAGCCTTCAAGGCATTGCCGCCATCCAGATTGCAACTGCTTCGTGGTAAGTCTTCGTGGGTGACGGCCGAGACCTTTGTGACAATTCTGACTGAATTGCAAAAAGCCTTGCAACCTTGGCTCCCTGCTGTGAAGCCTATCTTGCTTTTGGATTGCGCCTGCCCCCACTTGCGAAAAAAGGTTTGCACAGAAGAAAGGGCTGCAGCTTCTCTTTGTGCCATCCTGTGGCACTAGCTTGTTGCAACCCTTAGACATTTTTGCTTTTGCAGCATTCAAAATTTATCTACGGCGTAAATACCAAGAGCACAGAAGAACAGCGCTGGATGGTCACCCTGACCTGCTTGCTTGGGTTTGGCAGCTGGGCCAAGCAGGTCAAGATTTTTTTTGGAAAAAGGAAATGGGCCCACGCCTTTGCAGGTGTCGGGTGCGGGGGAGATGTTTCACAGCTACATTCCTCACTGAAAAATTTCATGGGGAATCCAGTGTCCTTTCCGCTTCCTGCCAAACCGACAGACGCAGAACTTGCTCTCATTTGGCCTAAAAGGCGCAAAATGAGTTATGCTGCTGCCTATCTCTTCTGAAAACGCCCAAGGCGTGTCACAATCCGTGCCGCTTATGCAAGAAAAAAGCTGCGGCAAGTATGGCACTGTATATATATATATTTATTTATACATACATAGATACATCAACATACAATATATATATGATATGTACAAATATATTTGTGCATCTGTTTTTTGAGCTATTACTGTGCATGTGCATCTGGTGATTCAATGCGATGCCGACGTACCTCTTGAATACTTGGAGAGTTAGATACAGATATCCAGATAGATGACCGAGACTTAAACATATATATATGTGTGTGTGTGTATCCGTCATGATAATATGTGCGTATATGTATGTCTCCACTAGCTATGGATATGTCACATCATCTCTGTCGGATGATCCATTGTTTGTGGCCAGTGGCCCGGATGCAGCACTGTCCTGGATAGATTGGAATTGTTGTATATGTCTATCTACTTCAAAAAAAGACATGAGATGTTTGCAGGTGGTGTCGGCTCTGTTGCAGGGGCCAAGTCTTCCCTGAAGGGGTTGGGTGGCCTTGCTGGATGCCAACGTGGGCAAAAGTTGCTCTCATGAGCTTACAACGGACACACACACACACGCATTCAAGTAAACACAAATGGTTTTACCCATGGCAGCGCAGCAGCGCAGTTGCATTTAGACGTGGCTGACACAGGCAGTAGACTGGATGACGTGGAGAGGAAAAAGTTGCCAGACTGCCTGGTGCACAGCTGCGTGAATGTTGGAGTTCATGATGTGACCGGTACGCTCTTGGGCGCTTGTCGCGCAGCTAGGGGTACCATGACATGGCTGTGCTTCTGGGCGCCGCTGTGCCGCAGCTGAGGGCAGCGCAATGTAGCCGGTACGCTCTTGGGCGCTTGTCGCGCAGCTAGGGGTACCATGACATGGCTCCGCTTCTGGACGCCGCTGTGCGCAGCTGAGGGCAGCGCAATGTAGCCGGTATGCTCTTGGGCGCTTGTCGCGCAGCTAGGGGTACCATGACATGGCTGCGCTTCTGGGCGCCGCTGTGCGCAGCTGAGGGCAGCGCAATGTAGCCGGTGATCCATGACATGGCTGTGCTTCTGGGCGCGGGAGTGCGCAGCTGAGGGCAGCTGTAGCCGGTACGCTCCTGGGCGTTTGTCGCGCAGCTGGGGGTACCACATTGTCTCACATGTGTCATCTTTGAATCCAGGGGAGATATAGGTTTGTCGGTATTCCAGGATAAGTGCATAACAACCATGTATCCGGTACGCTCTTGGGCGCTTGTCGCGCAGCTAGGGGTACCACATTGTCTCACAAGTGTCATGTATGGATCGCGAGGATGAAGAACAATGTAGCCGGTACGCTCTTGGGCGCTGGTCGCGCAGCTAGGGGTACCACAAATTTTCCATTATGTGTCATGTATTGATCGCAGGGATGATGTCTGAGTATATTCAATGAGAAGTGCATAACAACAATGTAGCCGGTACGCTCTTGGGCGCTTGTCGCGCAGCTAGGGGTACCACAATTGTCTAACATGTGTCATGTATGGATCGCAGGGATAATGTCTGAGTATTCAATAATAAGTCATAATAAGTCATAAGTGTATAACAACAATGTAGCCGGTACGTTCTTGGGCGCTGGTCTCGCAGCTAGGGTACCAGAAGTATAACAACAATGTAGCCGGTACGCTCTTGGGCGCTTATTGCGCAGCTAGAGGTGCCAGAAGCCCGTACGCTCTTGGGCGCTTGTGGCGCAGCTAGGGGTACCAGATTGTTGAGCCCAGCGGAATTAATGAACGAGGTCTTCCTGAAGCGATGTTTTGGAGAGAGGTAACATTAAACAAGAAAGCTTTTCATAATGAGCTACTTTTGGAACTATTGGGAGTGTACGGGGGCACCCCGTTTGGGAAGGTACAGGTGTACAACGCTATCGGGCAATAGATAGACCCCCTTCCCCTTCCTCCTTCTCCCCCCTTCTCCCGCTAGTTAATAACTTTGTAAGTCCCAAACGGGGTGGCCCATGACTCTCCCGCCCGCTGATAGTATTCTGATAGCACTGTGTTCCATGTTGGTTGTCCTCCCGCCCGCTGATAGTATTCTGATGACATTGCGTTCGACTGTTGTGGTCCTCCCGCCCGCTAATAGTATTCTGATGGCATTGTGTTCCACTTGGGTGGTCCTTCCGCCCGCTAATAGTATTCTGATGGCACTGTGTTCGGCTTTCGCGGTCCTCCCGCCCGCTAATAGTATTCTGAGGACTGGTGTTGGCATTGCGCGCCCGCCAATAGTATTCTGATGGCACTGTGTTCGGCTTTCGCGGTCCTCCCGCCCGCTAATAGTATTCTGATGATTGGTGTCGGCATTGCGCGCCCGCCAATAGGTATTCTGATGCCACTGTGTTCGACCTTGGTGGTCCTCCCGCCTGCTACTAGTATTCTGATGATTGGTGTTGGCATTGCGCGCCCGCCAATAGTATTCTGATGGCACTGTGTTCGACCTTGGTGGTCCTCCCGCCCGCTAATAGTATTCGGATGGCATAGTTCCAAAAGTTGCTAAGTAAGAAAAGCTTCCTTATTTAATGTTACCTCTCTGCAAAACATCGCTTCAGGAATTGTTTTTTCCTGCGTTGAGGGAAAACATTGCTTAATTGAAAGGACAAAGTCTTTAGCGACAGACTTTTTAAAAGACTTCTTGTGGTAAGGAAACCTTCCTCATTGCGAAGGGTATTCTGATGGCAGTCTTTCGGACTTTTATGGTTATAGACGGACTGGTTGTTTGCGACTAGACCCCCTTGCCCACATCGATCTGCCCTTCCGTAGCCATTTCTCGGTTGATTTTTCAGCAAATGGGCCACATTCATTGTCATGCCTGCAGCTTTCCGTGCCTATGCCCAGACATGTGTGTTGCGTGTGCCAGCCAGGCTCCAAGGTGGTAACCATGTGTTTGTCAGGCATGTTTGCTTTTCTTTCTAGGAGACAGTGTTCCGAAGGCTTCACCAGGCCAAACAACCCCAAAGAATATGTAAACGCAAGAGCTTGTGTTCTGTCCACCGACATGGGTCTGTTTACGGGTCATGGCTCGGCCAGACACCCGACGGAAGCGTCGGGCCTGTGGAGAGCTGCGGGAGTTGGCTGCTGAAACCGCTGTTGAATGCCCTGCGGGCACGAGGACTGAGCTTAAGAAAGACCAGTTTGAAGCGCTGGTCCAAGCTGTCACGCAGCAGCAATTGACCCCAGAGCAGCGGGCCAGACTAGATGAGTTGACGGAGTTGTATTTTCAATTGGAGGCTGGGGTCATGCTGCCCAATATTCTCTAGTCAGTAGTCAACCGAAAACCGAATGTCTTCATGCAGCCTGGCAGTGCAACGTTTGCCCTGTCTGTATATAATGTGTTAAATATATATATATATATACATATGTTTTCTTTACGTATAAATGTCTTTGTGTATGTAATATATATATATATATCCTATCTATCTCTTTCCCTCCATCGGTATATGTATACCAACAGGCATGCATCTACAAACTTCCATCCTATGTACATTTCCCTTTTCTCTAGGCACATTATGATCCAGGGGAGTCATTGCCCACGGTGTGTCCTGCATGGCCAGTCAGTGGCATTGCTTGTAGGTTCCTCCGGCTGTCCCAGCATTGCCACACAGAGCTTCTGCGCGGTCGGCTGAGCCTGTCCCCTCGCTGCCCGAGGAAAGGCCTGCAGTCGCACGCCAACCTTTTCGCCTGAGGGCATCTGCTGCGTTGTTCACCTACAATGTGCAAAATTTGACGGAAGATGCCTTTTCCGAATTTGTCAGTTTTATTGAAACGCTCGAGAATGTCGTGCGTTGGACAGCAACATTAGAAGAATCCCTGCATGCCACCGAGAGTGGCCGTTTGCATTTACATTGCTTTTTGGAATTTAGTCGGGCGCCCGATTGGGCCACCTTGCAGCCTCTGACATGGCGTGGGGTGTTGCCAAACTGTTCGGCCTGCAAGGCCAGAGGTCCCAGGTGGAGAGAGGCAGCTGACCAAGGGCATTTTTATTGCTGGGCTTGGAAGCTTGGCACGCGCTGCGTGCGCACAAGCAATCATGAACCTTGGGTGCACTATACAGTCCGTGCCACCTGGCTGGACCTTCTGTGGTCTGGACACAAATTGAGTCACGAAGTCTATTTGGAGTACGCTGCGAAAGTTCGGCTTGGTTTTATTACACGCAGCAAGCAAGTGGAAGCCGTTGTAGCACATGAGCAAATGCGAGCCTTTGAAGCGGAGCAGGCAGCTGCAGTGGCACGCCTTGCGCCCTTGAAGCGTCCGTTCAAAGCTGATGTGGTGGAAAGGTTGCAGGCCTGGGCTTCTCAATATGAAGAGCTTCAACCGCGCTACAAATTCTGCGTCTTGCGTGCAGGGTCACGGTGCGGTAAGAGTACTCTGGCCAAATCCTTGCACGACCTATTCCCTTGGAAGCCTCCCAGTGCAGGATGACAGCAGTGCAGACCTGCGGTCCTACTGTCGCACCCGACACGGGTATATAGTTTTCGACAATGTGAACAGTATGCAATTTGTATTGTCACAGCGAGCCCTCATGCAAAGCAATTCCGATGTTCACAGCCTGGGACAATCCAAAACTGGCATATACCGGTATTCTGTATATATCTTTGCTGTGCCAATTATCATGACTGTGGACCATTCTGCTGAGTGGGACAGCTCAGAGCCGTGGCTGGCAGAGAACATGGAGCTCATTGATTTGTACGAGCCGTGCTTCGAAAGTTGAAAATAAGAGCTGTCTATTTGGGGGGGTTGAACTGGTCCCAGAAACGGGACGTGAACTAGTGGCATTTTCTGACTTGACCATCCAGGGCCTCTATTGTATATATATATATATATACTATGATATTATCATACTTATATATTTTAGTTTCACATGTACATTTTTTTATCAATATAACAGAATTTATTTATATATATATATATTTATTTATTTACAAGTTTATATATATACTTATATATATATATATACATATTTATTTATTATTCATTTATTTATTTGTCTTTTCCGTTCTTTATACACAGGCAATGTTCAGACAAACCTATATCCCTTGGATGACTCAAAGACTGAGGAATTCAGTCCAGTGCCACCGTCTTTTTGATCATGTCCCTGTTGCTCGGAAGGAAGGGAGAGTCATTGGTTTTGGCCCGGATTTCTTGGAGTGGTTACACAGTTACCCCCGATCATGTATTGAATTGCGAAAATCTCTCACTTTGGGTGAAACATTTCAAGGCTCACAGGGATCAGGGATGGTGATATCCCTGCGCTGGTCATTGGTCAGGAATTCGATTCATAGATCGCCAATGACTGGATCAATTATAGCGACCTCCGATGTCATCGAAATGATGGGACATGATGGGACTTGAGTTGGGGTGACTATCCCAAAATAGCCAAACATTTGGGGTTAGTGGCTCAATAGAGTTTACTGTATCCAGATCATATTTACAACTTACCTGGACACTCAAAATACCAATGGATGCCGTCAAAATGTAGCAACACATCGGATGAAATGCCCATCTTCATAGCAGAACGGCGTGCAAGATTCCTGAGTTCGATTGCCCAATGCACGAATTGCAGTTTGTGATGTCAGCATCAGAAATGGATGGCGTATATAACGAAAACATTCCAAGGCGACCCACATTGTGGGGTCATCAGTGCTGGATGCGATTGATGGCTTGTTGGAAGCATAATTTTAATATGATTTGATTCTGTATAAGTCAGTGTACTTGGACTCATTATTGCAATTCCATCGATTTGTTGTCCATCAAAACCCGTCAATGCAGTAATCCATGACGTTGTTTTTTAGATTTATATACAGGCCAAAAATACTTTACTTCACCGCGGCAAAGTTTTGTCATAGTTTCAGACATCTCATCTGGAAGTATATATGGCATATATAATATGACATTCTATTAATTCTATTCTGACATTCTATCTGGCATTCTATCTGACATTCTATTCTGGCATTTTATCTGGGACATCTTTTATTCCTGACATTCTTTTCCGCATCTATTCTGGCATCTATTCTGGCCATTCTTTCTGGCATTCTTTCTGGCATCTATTCTGGCATCTATTCTGGCATTCTTTCTGGCATTCTTTTCTGGCATTCTTTCTGGCATCTATTCTGGCATTCTTTCTGGCATCTATTCTGCATTCTTTCTGGCATTCTATCTGACATTCTTTTCTGGCATTCTGTCTGACATTCTTTTCTGGCATTCTATTTGGCATCTATTATACTGGCAGTCTCTCTGACATGGGCGGTGCCCGTGCCCACTGAGTGGAGCTCGCAGTTGAGGTCTGGCAGGGACGAGGATGGAGGAGGGAGGAAGGAAGGAGACAAACAACTCCGATAAAATCTCCCACCTGGCAGGTGTTGAAATTACGATTTAACTGAGTGACCAATGTTGGAACTATAATATTGCTTGAGGCATGGTAATCTGAAATCAGCACGGGAAAAAAAAACAATCATGTGTGACGGATTGACGGATCGTAGGATCGCTAGGTTCGAGCCCGCCAGAGTCTGACCCTAGAATTTGTGTAGATTTTTGCGTTTGTCCAATTCTTTATGATTAACTATTCTGTGTTTATGTGTTGGTCCAATATCTTGATTCAGAGTTAAATATGATGGGCCACATTTTTGCAGATTGTTTATGTGTATGTGCAAAATTGTTCCTAAAACCCATCAGATTTAAGTGGTTCAACGGGAATTCAAAATTATATGTACGCGTGAACCCTTGAGAATTGGGCCCAATGCTCAAACAAACGAATAAATTTCTCCCACAAGTGTTATTTAGGGGTGCCATATCACACCCACTAAAGGATGGCATTGCTCATTGCATCCATGTATCTGTATAAATATATACACATACATGTCACACATGATTCCATTGTTTCCAACGTAATCCAGCGGCCTATGGGATCAAACAAACCCAGGTGTATGTATGTATGTATATATATACACATACGTAAATAGATCTTTGCAGGATTTGACATAAGGGGTTTCCATATTGTTCGGACTACATCTGTTTATCCAAAAAATTGTCGCGTTTGTGTACCTTCCTCTGTCCATGTGGGTGTTTAACCCAGCTAGTGATAAACTGCTTACACACTGGCGTCAATCACCAAGTACAAACATTGCTGACTTCAGGTTAGTGGAACCTGTGTTTTTTCTATTTTTGGTATTTTAACATATTTATGTTTCAATGTTAAGATCATGTTTTTGTAGTTTTTGGTTCCTAGCCTTGGTTTATCTCAGTTAGTGGGTTTGATAAAAGATTTGTTGCTGTCTAAGATTCATATTTTTTGATTGGTGACAAGAATGTTCATTGATTGTTGTCTTGCGATTGCCAAGGAATAACTATATACAGTATTTACGTCACCAAAACTACAATATTTTTCGGGAATTAATTATTGCTGATATCACATCTTTCATTGGTACCAGAATCGGTGGAAGGCAAGGAAAAACAGGAACCCCCTACATGTGGGTTCAATAGCCCAGTTTTCCTATATTTGTTCCCATAAACCCAATCCGAATCCTTTAATTTGGTAAGGTAATCTATCTTCCTCCACGAAAAGGTGTTAAAATAGTTGATATCTATTTGAATGTATTGTTTCATAAGAGTGCCAAGAGCTACCAGCTGATTTTCAGACATATGATTATGATTTGATCTACATAAAACAACATCTACAGATCTACAGTATATCGTTTTTTGTTACCCCCCCCAAAAAACCTATGATTTACTTACTGGAGCTTGGTAGGGAATGGATGGTAATGGGGGTTGCTGGGATTATTATTACTAGTGATCAAATGGATCATTCCTCATTCCCTAGGTAAAACGCAGCAGTAAAATTAACCATCATTCATCATCATCAACCATAATTCACCATCATTAAACGTTATTAATTAACCACTAACCATCAATTCACCATCAATTCGCCATTGTTTATAGTGTAGCGTTTTTCAACAAATCGCGGTTCAGTCGCAAGGTTCGTTGGTCTCATCTCCTTTGTGCTGGTGAATCTTCTGGCAGTGCAGCTGATGGAAGCCTATGCCGCGCACTCTGAGGCAGGTCGGGCCAGGTTGGTCCATAGATGGCAGGGATGGCGGAAGTCGCAGTGATGGTGGAGAATTTTTTTCGCACGAAATGATGGGGAGATATCTGGCACTAGCTAGATGAGTTTTTTGATGTTTTTTGCGGGGAAGAACTGAATAGGATGGAATACTACAAGATACTACAAGCATATTTGTAAAATTACTGGAGCTAATCAAAAAGATGGAAACCATCGGCAATTCAGCACAAGTTTTGAATCCAATGTTACTAGTCTGCATATGTTTGATTGTTTTTACTGGTTGCTACTGGAACTGGACACCAGTTCCACCAATGTATAGATGGTTTTTTCATTGATTTCTGGCAGTCTGGAAGCATGCTATGGACGTTAGTCAAGTAGATGACTGGCAATTGGGTTTCAACTCCTGAAAATTGCAATTGTTGGCGGTTTGGAACATTTTTTATGTTCCCCAATAGCTGGGATGATGATCCAATCTGACTAATACTTTTCAGAGGGGTAGGTCAACCACCAACCAGATATAGTCGCAGTAGATGATTATAACTTATAACTGGTTTTTCAGAATTCCTTGGAATGGAACAGTAGATGGTTTACAATGGTGGTAGCCATGTAACCCAACGTAACCCAAGTAGTTCCTTGGAATGTAACTGTAGTATTGGCTGGGTTTTAGGATGTTAGTCAGGTAGATGGTTTGCAACTGGAAAGTCGCAAGGATATGAATGGGCCCGGTTAACCGGCTCATGAAGCTGGCTCATGAATCCCATAACCCCCTATGGTATCTCTCAAAGAAGTTCGTTTTTTTTACCCCTAAATCATGGTTTCTGGTTTTATTAAGGGGAAGGGATTCGTGTGAAACACCCCATGTCATCAAATCTGATGGTAAGTCCAGGATCTTGAAGGACGGATCGAATATTCTTGCAAACACGGGATTTGAACCACCAATGTGGAACTTTGACAACTCCAAATCCCACTTGGCAAAATCTGTGCTTTGACAAACACGGGATTTATGCCACAATTGATACAGTTTGGAGGGGTGAACTCATTTGCTAAGCATCTTCACCAAGTTCCATTGCAGTTTCTATTTTGGTGCTACCGGTGCCTTAAGCTACCAGATACTCCAACTCACCCATTGGTTCCCTACCGAAAGAAAAGGATCCCAAAGCTTGGTGACGCGTGGCACTTGGCTCCTTTCCAGTCAAAAGAATGTTACCCCCTTAAAACTCACATGGAACCCCTCAAAAAGTCGGGTTGGAATAAAGTTGAGATACATTTTTCTCATAAAACGATTTTTTCTCACGACTGGGTTGGAAGATGATTTTCCCAAAAGACCGACATCTCCCCAGTGAGCTACTTGCTGAGTATCTTTCCAACCAGGACCTGCAGGGTTGCGCACAACTGAGCCGCGCTGCAATACTGGTGCGCAGCATGGAGCAGGCATCTGAGATGTGTTTTTCTTTTTTTTTGGCTGATGAACCATTAAGAATCTAAGAACCAGTTTGTGGGGATTGTTCATCGACATATTTGACATGATCATCTCGATTCAGCCACTCCCCGACATTCCGAGATTCCCAACCAAAAGGCTTCTTTTGGGTGAATCTTAAGCATCAACCACAACTATACAAAGTTAGGGTCCCCCCCCAGTTTTGCTGGTTTATGACCCCAAACAAAAAGATCGAGATGTGTCCCTATATGTTTCAACCCAAAGGTTGCAGTAGAAAAAACACCAGGTTAACTATCAATCAGTCTTAAATCCCATTGCCCCTCGTGCAACTACACATAGCTATTGAAGCCATGGCTGTTTAGTTTGTTGATTTACCATGATTTACCCATTTTAAATATGTTTAAACGATGATGTTCGATCGTTTTTTGGTATGTTTACCAGAGGGTAAATCTCATTTTCCTATGGGGTCCCACCTTGTATCCCTTCCTAAGCTGGTGGGTCACCTGTGCAGGTGCAGCACAACAGTTGGAGCAGCTTCCTGAAGCACCATGGCCACGGGAGATGACGGAATATATCGCCGACACTCTCTCTCTCTTTTCCTCTCTCTCCCTCTCTCTCTCTCTCTATCTCTCTCCGTCTCTCTCTCTCTCTCTATCTCCCTCTCTCTCTCTCTCTCTCTCTGTGTCTATATATTTATATTATAATATGTTTTCTGGTTGGTGGTTTGGAACATGAATTTCATTTTTTCTAAGTATTGGGAATAATCATCCCAACTGACTAATATTTTTCAGAGGGGTAGGTATACCACCAACCAGTATAAATTGGCAACTTGAGTATCAGAGTAAAACCTTCAAACCATCTAGGAAAAATGCATCATGTTTGCTGATAGCCAACAATATTGGAATGCCACCCTTGTGTGAAGGAAGAAGACCCCCAACATACGTATACAATTATATATATATACATATCTATCTATCATATGTATGTGCGTGCACACACATATTATATATATATACACGTGATATGTATGTGTTGGTATATATATATGTATATGTATATGTATTTATGTATGTGTATATTTGTATATGTATATTTGTTCATGTATATTTGTATATGTGCATATGTATATTTGTATATTTGTATATTTGTACATTTGTTTATGTATAAATGTATATATGTATTCATGTATTTATGTATTTATGTGTATGCGTATATGTATATGGATATGGATATGTATATGGATATGTATATGTATATTTACTTACACTATATGTATTTATAAATAAACAATATATATATATATATATTAACACCATTGATGGGCTGCCAAGACAGCCTGCGTCTCGAACCGAAGGGCACCCCCCATGGCACTTGCTGCAAAGTGGTCTGTTTGAGGAATGATACACCATGAGAAACGATAGTTTGGCAGACTGAGTCTGAGAATACCCCGACGCCCTTTTGAAGAAGTTTGTTCCTTGTCAAACTATAGATAGTTACATACTGAGTGACATACTAAGTTAGTTTTCATTATTTGGTGAAAAGAAAACAGTCGCACCATTTCGGCCTTGTGACATGGTTTTCCTTCCCCAAATCCACCGAGGAACTTGCAATTCGATGAGCCATTGGAATTCAACGAAGGAGACTTCAACGACTGATTCTGGATGTTCTGGGCAACCGAAGGTTGAATTGTTCTATAAATCAGCTGTTTGATGGGTATCCCCAAAAAGGCTATGCGGCAAGTGACATGTTGCGGGTTACATGATACAGGTTTATATTGAGGATGGAGCAAGATCTACATTGCTCCCATGACTGTCAGGATGGACATTTATCAGCCAAAAGGATTCCCACCATGGGATGGATGACCACCGGCCCCACTTATCCCATGTAACTGTTAATGTAACTTGACCATGGCACAAAAAACGGTTTACCAATTCCTGGTATATGTGTTTAAATTGATTTTGGGATCTTACCATCAAGCTGAAGATACCCTCTGGCAAATCATCTACAAAAAACATGGTGCAAACATGCCATACACAAAGAGTAACTTGCCTTCCTTGATCCATTCTTGACTATTCTTCTTTTTGATTTCAACTCTGTTGATTCATTGTTCATTCATACAGCAGGGATGTTGATAGCATGCCATAACGCCCAATGATTGGACTATACATGACTATATACATACAGTATATATACATATATGCACATTATTATATTATACCATACATTACTGTACTGTACTGGCTTGAACGTATACTTTCTATACGCTATGCTATTCAATATTCGCTATACACTGTACACTGTGCTATACAATATTCATCAATATTCACTATACACTATACACTTTAAGCCATACACTATGTGCTATATGCTAACTACTATGCTTTACTTTGTAGAACCCCCGTTTGGCTTAAGACTGCTTTTGCCGTTTTGGTGCAGGAGGGGGGGGTGTATTGGTGCACGGCTGGTGCGCGGAAAAGGAAAATAGGGGCAAGGGTGGGTCTGGGAAGGGAAAAATAGGTGCGGGAGTGGGTTCTTGCCGATCTATGGATCCAGTCAGGATCCCGTCGGGACCCAGTCGGGCACCAATTTTTGCATTTTTGGGCACCGCTTTTGGCCAGTCGGGATCCAGTCGGGATCCAGTCGGGATCCAGTCGGGATCCAGTCGGGCACCAATGTCGGGAGGCAGCCAAATTCATAAAAAATAGCATTTTTGCAGTGTTTTTGCATGTTTTTGGGTGATTTTGGCTGCTTCCCGACAGGTCCAAACGTGGTGCCAAAAATTCGAAAATTGGTGCCCGACTGGATCCCGACTGGATCCCGACTGGATCCCGACTGGCCAAAAGCGGTGCCCAAAAATGTAAAAATTTGCCCGATTGGGTCCCGATTGGGTCCCGACTGGATCCCGACCGGTTTCTTCAAAAAAACACCTATTTCCTTAAATTTGAGCACCTATTTTTGAAATTTTAGCACCTTGCCGTGCACCACCCCCCCCTCCGTTTCCCCCTCCGGACCCCCCCCACCAGTCTTAAGCCAAACACGGGCTTGGCAAGCTTTACTAAACTATACATACTTACATACTTACATACTTATATACTTACATACATACATACATACATACATACATACATACATACATACATACAATACTTACATACTTCCATACATACTTACAGAATTACATTCATACTTACATACATACTTAATACATACTTAATACATACTTATAAACATACATTCATACATACATGCATGCATACATACATACTTATAAATATATATATACACATACATACACTGTACATATATATATATATAGATAGATATATACTTAAATATATTTATACTTTGATACACATGTGTTTTTGTGTGTGTGGGATAGGTCACTTAAGCAACAACCAGTATACTGCAAGAATCATGTGCCATGTTTGATATATGCGGAATATGTACCACATGTTTGACCCCAATCGACCTAAATCTACGTGAATGTTCCATACATGGAGCATATGGGATGACACCACCAGCCAGTCTATTTTTATACAAACATTATATTATGTGTACTACCAAAAATTGATACATGCCCTGTTTCGGGAGTTTAAAATCCTTTTGAAGTAGTTGTTCGGAATTATACCCCCAAGAGTTGCAATAGTTGGGTGATCTTCGACATGTATACCGGACAATCATGGACTCTTTTGCTCATGATCTCAGCAAGTACACAAGTGCGCGATCGTCATCAGTTCTCACTGCTCCAATTCTCCGAACTATGCTGGGGCCCCTTCGCTATATCTTCCTGCAGTTTGCGGACGTGTACACATTTTACATTGACAGACTGTAAATCTATGCGTCACACATATATATATAATGATCGATAGGATCCTGATCATATATATACACACATAGCATATCTCTATATATCTCTATATATCTCTGTATCTACGTATAATATATACCCTCTGGTTATGACTAACATAGCCATGGCATAGATGGCCCCAATCGAAATAGATGATTTTCCCAACGATCGAAACCTCCATTTATGGTTGGGATTTGCCGGTTCGCTAACTGTTAGTCATAACCAGATGGTATATATATACAATACCCTCAACTACTAAAGGTCTAAAGTACCTGACCCTACAGGGTCCACCGGGCCAGGGTCTAAACCAGTCAATTTTCAGCACTCTAGACCTTTTTGAATTAGTGCTTTAGACCCTTCCTATATAACCTCATAATATAATATAATATACTGTAATATAATATAATATAATATTATATATATATATTTATATATATAATATATACATACACATATATATATATACACGATGATCAATAACAATATCAACAATGGTACTGGGTGAATACTCGCCCAATGGGAAGGAGGAGGTGGGAAAGGACAACAAACACTCCAAAAGCTGCAAGTTTTGATTGTCCTTCATGCGATCGAACCATTAGAAGCCAAATTTTGGGTTTCAATTTTGATCTATTTTCAACAAAGCATTTTTTGATCAAAATACCCCCCAAAAAAATCGATCACATAATGATTTGGTAGGAGATGTTTCTTTGGGTCATAAATGAAGAGCGAAAACTCGCTCAATGGGAAGGGTGAAACCGCACAGGACGGAAAAAACGCCAAAACTTTGGCCAAAAGTTGCGAGTCTTGAGTGTCCGTTAGAAGCCAAATTTTGGGTTCCAATTTTGATCTATCAAAGCATTTTTTGATTTTTTTGATCAAGATACCAACAAAAATGTTTCGAGCACTCAATGTTTTGGTTCGGAGATATTTTTTGGGCCATAAATGAAGAGCATATGAAGAGCGGAAACTGGCTCAATGGGAAGGGGGAAGCCGGACAGGACAGAAAACACACAAAACTTTGGCCAAATGTTGCGAGTCGTTGGGCCATCCGAAGCCAAATTTTTGGCCCCAGTGATCGCAAATTCAGCAGCTGCCATGGCGGACAGCCACCCTGGACCCGCACCTGCATGCGAGTCTCATCAGCAACAAATCGAAATAAGAAAATATATAAACCCACAACATCCCTGGACTAGGACCCTAAATACATCTTCCTGCTAAGGAGAAATGTGGGAGCGAATCGCATCCGCCAACTTGGGATCAGAATCTACTCCTGTGGCGCTCAAAATGCTCCGCAGTCTCTGTGCATCCAGTGACTGGCAAGGAGAGAAAGTCCGCTCATGAGAGTTTTAAGTTTCTCGCCTTTGCATCATCACAGACGATTGCTTTGAGGTTCCTTTTCATTCGAATTAGTTGCGGATTTTTCCCCTGCAAACTAAGTCCTGGCAAACCAGCTGATTGGACTTGCGTGCTGGTGATTCCTGCAGTGGCCGTCCTGTCCCCAGATGTCCTCAGCCCATTCTGTCTCCCAAATCTTGGGGCACGACCCCATTCCACAGGGTCTTCAACAGATTTCCCATGACCACATATGGCTTTGCGCTAAGAAAAAGTAGAGGGATTTTGGATTAGACCCCGGAAGTTGGAATAAGGACTTTTTTCCAATCAATTTTCAGGGCAAGGACCCATTCCACAGGGTCTTCAACAGATTCTCCTGGCCTCATTTTGATTTGGTGCTAAAGAACCCCAAAGGGATTTTGGATTAGACCCTGGAATTTGGAATGAAACCGTTTTCTTTGAATCATATTTTCAGGCCGGGGACCCATTCCACAGGGTTTTCAAGAGATTCTCATGGCATCATTTTATATCATTTTATGATTTGGTGCTACCGAACCCTAAAAAAATTTTGAATTGGGCCCTGGAAGTTGGAATGAAACCGTTTTCTTTGAATCATATTTTCAGGGCAGGGACCCATTCCACAGGGTCTTCAACAGATTCTCATGGCCTCATTTTGATTTGGTGCTGAAGCACCCCAAAGGGATTTTGGATTAGACCCCGGAAGTTGGAATGAAACCGTTTTCTTTGAATCATATTTTCAGGGCAGGGACCCATTCCACAGGGTCTTCAACAGATTCTAATGGCCTCATTTGGATTTGGCGCTAAAGAACCCCAGAGGGATTTTGGATTAGACCCTGGAAGTTGGAATGAAACCGTTTTCTTTGAATCATATTTTCAGAGCAGGGACCCATTCCACAGGGTCTTCAACAGATTCTCATGGCCTCATTTTGACTTGGTGCTGAAGAACCCCAAAGGGATTTTGGATTAGACCCTGGAAGTTGGAATGAAACCGTTTTCTTTGAATCATATTTTCAGGGCAGGGACCCATTCCACAGGGTTTTCAACAGATTCTCATGGCATCATTTTATATCATTTTATATCATTTTATGATTTGGTGCTACCGAACCCTAGAAAGATTTTGAATTGGGCCCTGGAAGTTGGAATGAAACTGTTTTCTTTGAATCATATTTTCAGGGCAGGGACCCATTCCACAGGGTCTTCAACAGATTCTCATGGCCTCATTTTGATTTGGTGCTGAAGAACCCCAAAGGGATTTTGGATTAGACCCTGGAAGTTGGAATGAAACCATTTTCTTTGAATCATATTTTCAGGGCAGGGACCCATTCCACAGGGTCTTCAACAGATTCTCATTGCCTGACTTTGATTTGGCGCTAAAGAACCCCAGAGGGATTTTGGATAAGACCCTGGAAGTTGGGAGTGAGAGAGAATTTTTTTCCAA